AGAGCAGCAACAACAGCGCACTGGAGGGTCACGATCTCCGGGGAAAATCGCCCGTCACGGATCCGCATTGGAACCACGAGGCGACTTTGTATGTTTCCTCGCCCGGTAGCTTGTGTTACGTGCTAACCAGACTAGTGATGTTCTTGGAGAAGAGTCTGAGATTGATGTTTCAGTTTATGATCGCAACAACCAGGAAGCGTTCCTTGGCCACGTACGGCTGTCTCTGAACCTCAAGGAAGACCACAGCCGGCTGGAGGGCTGGTTCCCATTGTCGGCGCGCGGAGCTGGCGATTCTCAGATCTCCGGCGAGATTCACCTGGAGATGCTTTTCGAGAAGACGGACAAGAAGCAGGTGGGACCAAACGACTTTCAGATCCTGAAGCTCATCGGCAAGGGGACGTTTGGACAGGTGTATCAGGTGATGAAGAAAGATACGCACCGGATCTACGCCATGAAGGTTCTGTCGAAGAAGGTGATCATTCAGAAGAAAGAGGTCGCTCATACGTTAGGAGAACGCAATATCCTGGTTCGGACAGCCATGGCGGCTTCTCCCTTCATTGTTGGACTCAAATTCTCCTTCCAAACCCCCACCGATCTGTATCTAGTGACCGATTACATGTCGGGTGGCGAACTGTTCTGGCACCTGCAAAAAGAAGGGCGCTTCCAGGAGGCCCGGGCCAAGTTTTACATTGCCGAGTTGATTCTGGCTCTCCAGCACCTGCACGACCACGATATTGTCTATCGTGACCTGAAGCCCGAAAACATCCTGCTCGACGCCAACGGGCACATCGCGCTGTGCGACTTTGGTCTGTCCAAAGCAAATCTCACGCAGAATGACACCACGAACACGTTTTGCGGCACCACCGAATATCTTGCTCCCGAGGTCTTGCTTGATGAACAAGGGTACACGAAGATGGTCGACTTTTGGTCGCTCGGCGTCCTGGTCTTCGAGATGTGCTGCGGGTGGAGCCCGTTCTACGCGGAGGATACCCAGCAGATGTACAAGAACATCGCGTTCGGCAAGGTCCGCTTCCCTCGGGACGCACTCAGCACGGAGGGTAGGAATTTCGTCAAGGGCTTGCTGAATCGAAACCCCAAGCACCGCCTGGGCGCCAAGGGAGACGCGAAGGAGCTGATGGCGCACCCGTTCTTCCATGACATCGACTGGGAGGCGCTCGCCCGCAAGGATGTCATTCCGCCCTTCAAGCCCAAGCTCAAGTCTGACACCGACACGTCCAACTTTGACCCGGAGTTCACCAACGCTCTTGACAACAGTGCCTCGCTGAACGATCGCGCCGCTGCCTTGGCTAACGGGTTCATGCCCGCCTCGACGCCGCTCTCGCCAGGGATGCAGGCCAACTTCAAGGGTTTTACCTTTGTCAATGAGAGCTCGATCGATCACCACATGAAGCACGACCCCAGCGACCCTATGGACGAGGATCCGGAGACGTGGCAGCGATCACACCACCACGGCAACTCCACCGACCAGCGCATGAGTGGCATCCACAAGAGCAGCGACGGCGGCGAGCCGGGCATCTTCAACGTTGATGATAATTTTGATATGTGATAACGTCCTCTCGATGCATGACACTGGAGTTCTTTTTTTGACTTTTGCATATACTACCTTGTTTTCGATTTTGTACATGCCATCGATCCGTGGGGTGTTTCAAAATACGGTGCTCCTTTTGTTGACTCTATTACAACCGATATGATCGAACTTTGGCTCCATCTTCGACGACCTTGTGGACGAGAATTATGATCTTTCGCCGTCGACCGGCTTTCATAGGCTTGATGGCCTAAGGGGTTTTGCTTTCTCTTTTTCCTTTATCTATCAACTTTACAGACCATCCGGATAGATGGGTTAGATATCCATTTGAGCCAGGCTACATTCTGCAAATGCGTTTTTTCCTGGAGGTTAATTGGCTACTGCTTTGATCTTTACGACAGAAACAGCGACGGAAATCCACACATCAACTTGGCTCGGTTGCTTCGTGTTTGAGGCCGCCTTGGAAGTGTTGCTGTCATGTGTTTGAGATGGCTCGAGTTCAAATAGCCAGGTAGCTGAATGAATATGACCCAGCAATCGCTGGCATTGAATGATCACTTGTTTAGTCGGTTCATGTGAGAGATAAATACAATAAAGGCTCGTGGGAAAGCAGCAACACAGATTTCAGGAAAGTAAGGATTGACATTTGTTTCCGTATTCCACTGAACCCTTGGACCATCAATGCGTCGGCCAAGATAGACTGGTGGATTATGTAGGGGATATCCTTTGACACTATGGAAGAGGTCTCATTGCAGTAGTGAGTAGATACATAGACCCTTCTCTCTAGACGGTTGTATTCAGACAGCTGATGATTTTTGATCGTCTAGTCAGGCTAGGACATTTATCAATAACTAGTTATATTCAGGTCATCATTCGCTTGGAACTTTTCAGCTCTTTAGCTGGGTTTGGTCCCTTAGTGGGTTCACCATTCATCTTTACCCCCATGGAGATGTGCCTTAGCTAATTTGAGTTGTAGTCAGGGTGATCATCTGCAGCTTTAGAGTTATGATTGTCCTCAACACTGGGATGCAATTCTTCTTCAGATTGATATAGAATCATGATTAGGACGGATCTCAGCCCAGTGGGTTCATCTTTGATATGTTCCTTGGTTAATTCAAGGAATTCGGCTGATGGAATCTCCTTCACTGCTATTGTATTTCTTTTGCTGTATTGATACCTTTTAACCTGCACAAGCGCAAGTTGAAGTTTGGCTTCTGAGTCTTTGCTGGCCCGAATCCGATCATATGCAGCTTTAGCTCTTGATACCCTCATCTGGTATCTTGCCTTAAGTCTCTGCAGTGGATCTTGCTTTTGTTGGGCCTTTCTGGGCCTTTCGGTCTGCACATCTTTCTGCGTTCTTTGGTTATCTCTGGAGGACTTTCGTCGTCAGCAATGGTGATGCTATGTGGAACCGTCGGTGCTGTAGATCTGCTCTGTTGGAGGCGTGAGAGGGCATCCGCATTCCGGTGCACTCGACCGGGGCGATGGACTATCTTCATGTTGTCTCCGGATTGCGAGAGAAACAACGCCCATCGGGCTAGCCCTGCGATCGTCACTTTTCGTTATTGGTGACTTGTTGGAGTCCATCACGAAGAACTCGAAATTAGCGCCGTCACACAGGGTCCAGTGCCCTTCCTTCTGGTTGGTGAAATCACAGGCTAGCCGTCGGTTCTTCCGCTGGGGAGCTGCGGAATGCAGTAATCCTTTGATATGGCTGAGTGGTCGGGAAACAGAGTGGATTGGTTTCCATCTAGGTACTGTCGGAGTTTGCTGATTGCCCATACTACCGCGGCGACTTCCAGCTCAGTGGGCCAGTAATTGCCTTCCACGGAGGAGAGCTTCCTGGACAGGAATAATACTGGGCGTTCCTTGCCTTCATTATCCACTTGATGTAATGCTACGCCAAATCCAAGGTTTTGGAATGGCCCGTCTGGCCCGTCTGGCCCTTGCCTGGGCTGCTTAATGGGCTCTTTCTGCGGCTTTCTGCGGCTTTCTGCTCTGGGGTCTGACCTGCTTCCTTGGCCTTGATCTTCTCTCTCGCTCCTCTACTAGCCGCAGTAGCCGATCCAATGTGTGGAGTACAGACAGGCATATGACTTGGTCTTTTGAGGACCAGGGCGTAAACTCCCCAAAACATTCTTTGGGATGGCATCGGGTCAATCCGATACTTTGCGGCATCATCTTGAGAAAGGAGCCCGGGGGTTGGCACAGAAAGTGACGGAAACCTATGATGCTCTGGGTTGGTGTCTTTGCTCATAGACGCTTGATAGTGAATGCTTTCGGGCTGTTCTGCGCCCCGGATGCGTGTCACAAAGACATGACAATCCTCTCAACGGTCGAAAATGAACCAGCAGCTCTGTTGGTGCCGCTGAATGGGATCCACGGCAGGCTGATCTTCATGGCTGAGTGTCTGAAATCGACATCCTAAGGTAACATGGTTTGCCGGCTTCAGCTGTGGCCGGTAGCAGACGATTAGAGAGGACGCTCGTAACGTCTCTCTTCGAGGACCTTCGTAGGCTTAGTAACGCTCCTGGAGAGGATCTGAGAAGTGATGAACTTACAGCAGTCGAGATTTGCATGTCCCATGGACAAAATTGGCAAGGTCGAAATGACACTTGTGTTTTCGACTTTCGTCAAACCAGAGACTAATGGACAGTTAATATCTTCCGTCTGGATGTGAAGCTCGGAAGACATACCTTTTGTTTTGAATCTGGAAAAAAGACATTTCCAGGCTCAGTTAAAATGAAAGTCCATGCAACCATCTTGATCACTTTCTGAAAGTATTAAAATACCCCGAGCAAGCAGAAAGCACACCGGGTGCCTGCAGACACCGATAACAGTGGTAGGAGATCCAATCCCCAATGGCATTAATAGCCCACTGTTGGTGGGCATCGTGTAATTCTGTTGGCTGACTTTAATGCGGAGTGTTAACCCTATTATAATATTATTATATTAAAGGTCAAAGGAAACTTTTGGTGTATCAGTGAAAGGCATGTCATACCTCGCAGCTCTTCTTTCAACGCGTTCATCATCCACTAGTGACTGACAGAGTAACGCACCATCATCAGGGTCGACGTCCTCGTAGATGACTTCAGTAAATTCTCTAATTTGGGAATTCGGGGAACAATTTCGTTAAATATCTTTTGGGCAGAGGGGGCTGGGGCGAGCGGGCGAGCAGCTGGAGCAGCATTAACATAAGTAAATGGTGAAGGCCTGCAATGAGAGAATCCGTGACCTTGACGGCTCACAGAGAACGAAGCAATATGAATCCCATAATTGCGAAGACAATTGAACAGCTTGGAAAGAAAGAACGCAGCAGAGAACAACGAAGAGAATCACTTACGAAGGAGGTGGTTCGGTACGATTTGATGCGGTTTGACGAGAGGATGCCATAGTTGTGTTAAAGTAGCATGCAGCCATAGAGGCAAAGAGGAAGACACCTGCCTGACGTGGACTACCGTCTCATCATCGAGTATCCTGGCGAGCTCTTGAACAGTCCCATTTCGTCGGCATAGGAATGGATCTGCTACATTTTTAGATCAGTTACAGTCAGCAACGAAGATACAGCGCTTTCAAAAAAGGCAAAGATGTAGGCGTACCCATAACGCATGTGGAAAGGCGATTTGAAAGGTCAGAACTTGGTGGCTGACGTTCCGTTTCTTGTTCTTTGCAGGGACAATGCGCTTTGGCTTGGGGTTAAGCAAAGCGAGCTCGCCTTGCTGCCTTGGCATGTTCCGGCAGCGCAGCTTCTCGTTCCCTGATATCATCATCTTGAATACGGCGGTATTCCCTAGTATATCCCTGGCTCTTGATACTGTGCTTTCTGCTTCTGTCTTATGGCACTTGTCTGGGTCACTAGCACATAGCCGCTGCTGAGCAAGTCTGTTTCGCTCCCGGAAAGCAGCAAGCCGTTCTTCTGACATTGCTGCCTTCCGTCTCTTGTAGTTATCGCGAATCCCTTGTAGTTGTAGTTCTCTGGCTTTGAGTGTATCCGCACTGGATTCCTTAATGATTTCATCAAGGGCAGCATTGCTGACAATCTAGTGCTCCCGTTGTGTCTCAATCAGAAAAGTGTGCGAACAGGCACCATGCTAAGTAAATACGGAAGTCGCAAATCCGAATGGGCAGGCATTCCGAAGTGGCCAGGAGACTATCCCCATGTAACCCCTAAGTAAGGTGCAGTAGATCCCATGCCCACTTGCGGCATGACAGAGGCTGCTGCCCAGTCCAAGACGGGAGGCCTGGCATCACCGCAGGATTCCCACGTGAGCGCGGAATGAACCAAGCATTGGGGTGCAGGCACAGGAGCAGGAGTGGCCGGAGTAAAGGCAGGAGTATGCTGTCGCGAAACATTAGCTTGGTTACTTAGAAGATTCCTCACAGGGAACCCTCCCACAGACACATGGGGACTTACCGCGTACTCGGAGGGGAGAAGGGGGAGCACGTGAGCTCTGAGAGAGAAGAGGACTCGCGAGAGGACGGTACTCTCTGTGTTTCCTTTTGTTTGTTAGCATATTGGCAGATTCAATTCCGGGGATGGGTATATACATGGCCCTGGTACTGATACTTCGCCCGGCGGAGAATGACTCTGTCGCAGTTTTCATATCTTGATGTGATTCTAAGAATATCCATTGAAGCACATGTATAGGCTGTTTGGTTAAGGGTTGAACTTAATAAGATGTAAATAGTTAGTGATGGGTAGGGTAGAGGTAAAGATTTTCAGAGAGAGGAAGAGGGAGTAGAGGATGTTGCTAGCTTCACTACACTTACAGACAGAATTGATATTCACTAAGCTAAAGTATTGACTGTGAATATAGTTAGTGAATCCAGTAGATCCAGCAATAAAAGCAGGCAGTGAATGTAAGGGTCAAGAAATATACTCTGTGTTTGGATGATGAATATAGGTCCTCAACATGTTCAGGGCCTTTCCAGAATTGATCTGATGGATTATGTATGGAATATGCTCTGACATTCATAGAAGAGGTGATTTAATGCAGTAGATGTTAAGACTCCCTCTTCTGGACATTACATTTAGACAACTCCTGCTGGTATTCTTGCTTTTCCTGTTGATATCACCAGCATCCAGCCAAGTATACTCTTGTTATCGAAACACCATTGAGCTTAAGCAGCCCTAATGCTCGACAACGCTCCGTGTCTTTCAAAGCTCCCAACCGATTCGATGCTCAATGCAGGCCAGCAAGCATGTCTAGCTGGTTGGCAAGGACTCTTGGTAGATTGATCAAGGCTCCAGTTCCTACTGTATGCAACTAAGTATATCTTGAGCGAGAGTGAGTTCGATGACAATAGCTATCACGATGAAGAGGAAATGAGCAGCCGAACAACTCCCAACATAGTATGAGACATGATGCTTCGGCGGCTAATTCGTTACACCAAGAAAGCTTTTGAATCACTTTCTTGACTTTAGCAAGCTTTCAAGTAGGCTGCGCTCAACCTCCTCTTCTATCAGAACCTGTCTAAGGCTTGCTGCAGTATGATGATTATGATGATGGCTAAAGCTCAAGGGGGTCGTAATGAAAGAGTTGCATAGTCAGACACACTGTATTGGATATGATGTCCATGATCTTGCAGACTGTTGCCAGTGGCAGTAGAAAGCAATATTCCAGAGAAGTTCGAGTTGAAGACGACACTCTCCCCACGCATCAAATATTCTATCACTTCCACTACGGACAACTCTAGACGATATTGACTAGTTTATAGTTAAGAGTGTTGAGAAGTCCGCCGGTGATGCAACAAGGCTGGAAGTATGCTCCAACTGCTGTAATCTCTGTATAGAAACTAGAAGACACTGAACTATGCTGTTGATTCACCTGTTTAATCAGCATGCCATTCACCCCTGATTCTTTCACCCCCTTTGCTGAACTTACCGAGCAGTATTCGCATTTATCTCAATGAGATGAGTGAAGTTGACGTTGCTTAAAGGGATCGCTAGATGTGAGGCTAGTAAAGCGAGCGAGATGCTTGGGGTATATAAACCCCCTTTGCCCCTATGCAATCTGCATCTCTTGTCTCTCCATCATCAACTGTCTTATATTTCAATAAGGACAAGCCCTGAACCAAACAGCCTACACATGGGCTCCTGGATCTTCCTGTTATCTTTGATACCCGCCAGGCGTCTCCCTCTTTGCCTCTATGGCTGCGTGCTGCTTTAACGCAACTGTTGCATTGAAAGCAACATCTTCCTTGATACTTTTGGAAGTGACCAAGATTGCCTGGACCCCCATTTTTGACTAAACCTGGAAATGTCCTTTTTCCAGATTCAAAACTAAAGGTATGTCTTCAGAGCTTCACATCCAGACGGAAAATATTGACTGTTCATTAGTCTTGGCGCAGATGGTGCTAAGGCAATTGACAACTCAGACCGCTAACAGTCCTTTGGGCTCAATGTCGCGACAAGCAAGATTATTGTTTAAGGCTTTCTCTGGTCTAAAACATTTGAACAGATCATGGAAATGTTTCATCTTGAACACAGAGTCACAGACCGCTCAGAATTGAGCTCTCATCCAATCTTACTTGTGAAGCCCAGTGACTGACTGGTGTTAAGTGAGTATTTCTGACCTATTATCAGTTATCAATACTCACATGTTATCAGGAGGATTTACTTCAAATTTGAGACAGTAGAGAGAGTCCAAGTATTTATGGAGCACTATGACTGCAAACTCTTCGAGGGCCGAACTCTACTCCTTGGCTTCTGTGATGCTTCCCAAGATTTCTGGGGGAGCTGCTCAAGGACGGACAACGGCTATCTTAGCTAGTCTTGTGTCTCTTATGAGCAAACTGGTCCATACCCCGGACCTAGAGGGTCCATATGCTATTTATATCACGCTGACGTATGAGCTTGTGGCTAACGCTTGTGATACTATCCGGGTTCTGGCAGAGGATAGTGGCCTTGCTATCCTTTGCCTAACTAGAGAGAACACAGATGCAGAGTGTCGCCTCCAGGACTATGATATCATAGTCTCAACACCAGGACTTGACCTCAAGGTTGAGGACAAGTCCCTGGTGTTAAGGGGGCTGAGGTATCTCATCATTGATGATGCCCATATATCTCTTGGTCATGGTGCAGTGGCAGCACATACTAAGAACATCCTTAGTATTATCCAGGAGAATCAACGCACAGACCTGGTCATGTCCATCATTTCAAATACTGGTTCTACCCAGTACATAAAATCTGCATGTTCAACACATGTCTCCTTGCAGATTTTAGGTACTCAGGCAATGCTTAGCTTGTCATATTTCCCAACAAATGGCGCCCAAAGGACTGCTGTGATATGTGACATCCTCACAAGATGCTGTCACAACCAGAAGGTAGTTGTCTTTGTCTCTCGCATTAAGGAGGGTGAGTCACTTGAGATCTTGCTAAACAACACTAGGCTATCTGCCCAGGTGCAGATGACTCACAACAAGAAAGCACTGAATGAGCGGTCATCAATCATACAGGACTTTAACGAGGGCAGATGCTGGGTCTTGATTACTGCGATTATCTCCAACCGTTCGACGAATTCTCAACCCAGTACCTAAACTCCACCAAACACCTCTGCTTACGGGTTTTGACTGCAATTCGGGACAGCGAAGATAAGACTCCCAAAGAGCTGGCCGAGATTGCGGAATACAAACAAGCAAAAAATCGTGTATACCAGGGACAATACCAGAAAGCTTTGCGACAAAACCCGACTCCAGAATTCCGGGCGAGAAATAATAGGAACAACCTCAAGCAGAAAGAGCCGACACGAGCAAGACGGAAAGCAGCAGTGGCCGCCAAGCTCTACCGACGACGATCGGCCTGTGTTTCTCGACCAGGAAACACGCCTATCACTCCTGATCAAGGTGGACAACATAGTCCGCAACCTCAACGGGAAGGTAGACTTTGCCGTGTGGTACGAGGGGGACAGGAATGGCATGGGGACCAATCTCATTGCCGTGGAGGCAAAGCGGCGTGGGGATGCCAAAAAAGGCATACCCCAGTGCCTTTCCGAAATGCCCTGTACGGGCAAGGACTTGTCCACCTTCTTATTACCGGACAATCAACAAGTTGTTGTCTTTGCGTCTCGGATCAAGGATGCGGAATGGCTTGAGAGTTGAGACCATTCTTGACGGAACCCAGCTTTCTGTTCCGGTCACTCACTGTCAAGAAAACCTCTATGTAGCGGCACTCGCACATTCAAGAATTCAACGGCGCCAACAAAGCAATAGGCCAAGTGCTCAGGAAGGAGACAGAGACAGCTAGGTACACAAATGGTGGTTCCAGTGTCACATCGAAGGAAAGGGAAAGAGAAGAGGCGATCGCGTCTAGTTCTGCAACAGGAGAGGCCACTGCTCATCGCAGGTCGCTATAGGTTTGCTCTGGTTATATGTGTTAGCGTTGGAAGTGGTGTCCTCGAGGCGTTCTAATGGCTTTACCTCTCTATATTGATACCCCGTGGGCTGTCTTTACTTTGAACCTTTGACAACGAAGGACTTTTTTTTTTTTTTTTTTTTTTTTTCAAAGGTGTTATGCTCTCTTCCTCCCTAAAACTTCAGTGAATTCTTACTCCAAGGTTCATCCTTGTTACAACATCAGTTTGACAATGTGGTCCTCAATCCAGGCAAGAATGCTTCAAGCCCTGGAACAGGATCCTGTAAATATGCCGAGGACGGAGGTGTTCATGGACTCAAGGGTGTTAGCTAAGTTGACAGGAATAGTCGAAATCGTGATTAGCTCATTTAGGAGAATATCGACAACATGCCTTCTTCAGAGTATTACCAACGTGGCGGGAATTCATTGCGTGTACAGAATCGAATGAGAGAGTAGTGTCTGGACTCCGGAGTCGGATAGAATATGGGCTCGAAATGGAGGGGATGTCATCCAAAGGGCGCACGGTTCGGTGATGACTGATGAGGATCGAAAGATAGCCGGAAATTGCAGGTATAAAAACGATACAACTTCTTTGATTCAAAATAAAGACCGGTGAGCAACAGCAATAGATTCAAACTCAAACTTAAACTTTCTTCCATACTTTATCGTGACATTTCAAGTTTCAACTCGAGTCGCTCTCATTACAATGCAAAAGCCGTGGATAGAAACGCCTCTGATCGAGTCGGCAGCACTATCCAGGGTAGCCGGATGGTAAGAACATCCTACTTTCCTATCTATCCAAACACTAATTGTATGTAGCAGAATCTTTCTGAAACTCGAACTCCTCCAGCCTTCTGGATCCTTCAAATCCAGGTACAACACAACACCAAAGAAAATCTTCTAGGTCCTCCAGAGTCCAGACAACTGACAGCGCATCCAGGGGCATCGGCAACCTAATCCGCTCTGCATTTCTCGACCCAGCGAACAAGGACAAGCAACTCCATTTCTACAGCTCCTCAGGAGGCAATGCAGGCCTGGCCGCCGTCATCGCAGCCCGAGATCTAGGCTATCCCTGCACAGTTGTCGTACCACTCAGCACGAAGCCGTTCATGATCAGCAAATTGCGGGCGGCGGGCGCTGCCGACGTGATCCAACATGGAGCAAGCTGGTTCGACGCGGACACCTACCTACGGAAGAATTTCATCGATAATCAAGATACCCAGCACTCCTCGCGGAGAAACATCTACGTGTGTCCGTACGACCACCCAGAGATCTGGAAGGGCGCTGCGACGATGGTATCCGAGATGGTCGACCAGTTACCTCCGCGAGATCCCTCGTCAACATGCAACTTTCCAGCTGATGCGATTGTGTGCAGTGTTGGCGGTGGGGGTCTGTTCAATGGGGTTGTCGAAGGACTCGACAATTACCTGCAATCACAAGCAATGGATGGAATGGGACAAACTCGGAGAAATGTCAAGGTTCTGGCTGTAGAGACACAAGGTGCGGATTCGCTGGCGCATTCGCTACGAAACGGGAGTCTTCAATCTCTCCCCGGTATCACCTCGCTCGCGACTTCCCTCGGATCTGTTCGTGTCGCTGAAAAGACCTTCCAGAACGCAAGCTCGCCTCCGGCCGGCATTGACGTAGCAAGTGTCGTGGGCTCGGATGCGGAGGCTGCTCAGGGTATTCTTCGATTAGCTGATGATCTCCGGCTCCAAGTTGAACTGGCATGCGGAATATCCGTGGAGGCTGCTGTAGGAAGACGATTGAGAGATGTCATCCCGGATCTTACTCCGAACAGCAGGGTGGTCATTGTGGTTTGTGGAGGAAGCAATATCACGGCTGAGATGATAGCAGAGTATCGTCTCCAACTTGAGAATGGTTGGAACTAGACCGGTCCCCTCCTCGGTGAAATGTAGGAGGCATCATGCACTGAGTTGAAACAGATTTGTTGGCACCGGAGGCTTACCCAACAAAAAGGTCATAAATACTGAGAAGCAGAGGCGGAAAGGAGATATAACGGGGTTGTATATGATAAAGATGAAGGATACAGTGTATAATAAGCATCCTCCTATAGAATCTCGCCTGCCTGAATTGGCAGATATTAGTGATAATCAAGTATGAGAGAGAGCTCGCGCTCTCTCATGCAGCAGAAAGTACCGTATAACTGGGCTTAATAATGATTTATAGAACTCGTTGCCCTATTGATGAAGGTCAGATCTTGGATCAAGTCCTGATCGGAGCAGGGATGCACTTATTGCAATTCTTCCTCCGCTTGACAAGATCCTAGATCTCCTTTACAGGCGCGGTGAGACAACAAAGGCTGTCTGTTCTTGTTCGGTCAACTTTTCTTGCTTTGACGCCATGATCATTATTTGAAACCTTCGAGCTCCAAGATGTGTTGTACCCCACAGGGCTATGGAAGACTGACCTTGGTTCGTATCTGTCCAAATTCCAAAGTATGAGTTCTGAGGATGGACTATTTTAGCCACAATATCGGCCTTGAGCTCATATTGATATGGCATAGGGGCTAATCTACATATCCCTGTTTGCAACTTGAACTTCACTGTTAACTCTTCACGTTAATCCCGGACGGTGCACTATGTGGGTAGTGTGTCCCGACGGTAGTACGCTATTGCTGTGGGTTCAGACATTGGCCAATGCATTTGACTGCTAAATGCACTAAAGTCATGATTCTGGTGAAAGAGTTTGCTGTATCTTGTGACTAAAGTCTACACTCATTCCAGCCTCGAGGGAGTGCCTCTATCAAAATGATGACAAGAAGCCATGCTTCTTAACCTCTTTCTCTCAGTTTTAGCCTTCCCCCTTAAGTCTTCGGAAAGATGAAACGTTCGCAAGGCTCCATGTAATCCTATTTGTCTCGCGTTGATGTTGACTGATTAATCCCCGATATCATGTCGATCATTGCATTTCACCAAGCACAGAACCGGCAGATCTTACTCCATTGAGGAGCTCATAGGGGATATGCAGCAGTTAGATTACCGGGTTACCTCGACTGCGCGTTCCGATGTACCTCTCTAGATGGAAGTATGGAATGTCCATGGATCCATGGCTGCAATGACGAGTTCCGCGAGCGCTCCGTAGGGAAAAAGGCAGATACCGCTTGAGTATTTGGGGCTCGAGGGACGAAGTCTAGGTAAACTGGTAAAGAATAGGGGCCATATGACCCATCAAGTCTGATGTAAATACTTTGTAGTTTGTACTAAATACAAAGCCAAAAAGTTGATGAAGCTAACGAACTTAGTTTTTGCCTGATTAGGCTTAGTGCTGCTGTTCCTGCCGCGAACCATGACTACCCCACTGCACTAACCACAATAGCACTAGCGTGGGTTCCTCATCCCATGGGTGTCGAGGCATCTATCTACCTAGCTATGTATCTAGTGTTTTTTACCCCTTTGGTCGTAAGTCGTACGCAATGTCCACCATCGGCGTCATCCATGATCCATCCTCCTCCCTTCATGTCAATGTTATGCATAACGGACCACGGAATGTCTCAGGCCGTCAGCGGCTGTGGGAATTCGCAGACCAAGACCAATGGTATCGACTGTCCATCAGAGAGGTCGAAGTACGCCGTACGATCTCCGTAATACCAACCTATCACCCTGAACGCCCGGGGCTTATGTTTGTGTTCTCATCTTTACTGGATCAGGCAGTGCCACGCCCGCATTCAGAAGAATTAGATTGACTAATTCTCCAACTAACTCATTAGTTCCGACTTCGATGTTCTCCTTTTGTCCTTTTGCCGTTACTTACAGGCTCACAGCATGCACCTGCAGCCAACTGGAGGGCTTGACGCCTTGACTGTTTGTCATGCCACGTTTGGCACCAGTTCTCCGCTTCCTCCACAGTTCCTGAGCACGAGTTGCTGCAGCTCGCTGCATTTGCATGCTGGGTTGCATCATGCATGGATGATGATGCCAACAACCAAAGGTCCAAGATACCTGCGACTCGCGAGGCTACGACTACGAGGCTACGACTTCCATACATGAAACCCGACTAAGATTCTCATTCCTCTTGTGGGGATGATCGGCCTTGGAGTGCCGTCCCGTCTTCTTTTTGACTGGTTAAACCTTCCAACTCGTGGTATGTGGAAACAAAGAACACAATTCTATTTGGTGCTTGCAAAGTCAACTTCGGACCGCGAGACTTGAAAGGGGAGGGAGGAATAATGGGGGAACACGAAAATCACAAAGCTACAATCGATGACCCTGAGTTTAGACTTTAGACTGATCCGGGTACTCCTTTACTACTTCTGTCTCCTCACCTCCCTCGTTGTGTGGTCCTTGTCAAGTCACTCATGTTGTCCTGAAGAACATCCTTCGAGCTTCGTTCTAACTTCTTTCTCCTTTTCCTTTTCCATCATCGTGCGACTCCTTTATCGTGTTCCTTATCGGGCCCGGGTTTCAGTAACCATTTGACGCTTCGACGAATCATTGACTGACTTGCAAAAGTGGATATTTTTAACATACCAGAAGTGCTCTTGAACTCTTGCCTTCGGTACTTGGACTCCCCACCTACGCCCACTGCCTGCCTCCATCCAGCTCGTCTTCGCTCCCCTTTTGCGGATTACTTTTCTTTCTCATCCTCCTGGTCACTACATCTTTAATGCTCGCTATACACGGTCCACAATGAGCGTCGTCGCCAGTAGACATGAGACCGCTGCTGTGCCCTATACGACAATACCCCATCATAGCCAAGTCGTCCCAAACTATAAGGATGCTGCCTATGGGGTGACAGTACAGCAGATTCCTTCACGAAAATCGTCAGTCTCTTCATTCAAAAGCAATTACAGCGTTTCGACTTCTCCTACCTCCTATACTCCTTCCTCGCCCACTTCTTCATATCGCCTTTGCGACTCTGCTGCTTCGCTGGACAAGATTCTGGAGCCGGTCTTCAAGCGTCTACCCCAGGAGGTATACGATGGCATCCTCAATCAACTACAGTTTCTGCACACAGGCTCAAACCAGTCCGGTTGTTTGACATGTTTCCAGCGCGACCTGCACGCTCTTTCCTTGACTTGTCGAGTATGGGAAAGGGCTGTTCGAGCCAAACTGTGAGTGAATTTGATGACAGTTGCATTTTGACCCATTTGGTTTGATGACTTGAAACGCTGACGAGGTCTGTCATGAAGCTATACTCGCATTCACATTATCGGAAATGATTCTCCTGCTCAGCTAAAAAAATATCGGATGAAAAGGGGCAGCCGCCTGAAACTTTTGAGACGGACCCTTCGCGAAAGGAAATCGTTAGCCAACCTTGTCCTGGAGCTTCGTGTACCGCAGATGGACCTTCTTTTCACAACAAGCAAGCACAGCAACCAATGGCAAGAATACCGAGACCTCGTCGCCTCCGTTGTAATGGTGTGCCCCAACCTGGAACGGTTGTTGGGTTTGACCATCGCGTACAACCACGAGTTCGATCGTCTGACCCATGCACTATCGACACGGAAGAAGCTCAAGGAACACATATGGATATTGGGTGAGGGGCCGGAGGTCTCCGAAGAAGAGTCTCCGCGCAACACTTCTTGTCCGGGCAGCTTGGGTCCTCTGCAGATGTTTGAGTTTCTGGATTACCATGTTTCCTGGTCGAATCTGGATACTCTAATGCTCCATGCGTTGAACGGAAAAAGTGCCCTCGAGCCGAGCATCTTCCTTCGCATGTTCCACCTATTACCCTCGCTGCGTCATCTTTGCATTTCATCCTTTGATGCTGATGCCTTCGCGGATAGCGCTTTGCTGTGTCTACCGCCTCTGGAGTCACTTCGGCTGGAAAGCCTGCCAGGTATCACTGATACCGGACTATCACAGTACACCTCCCGCCCGGAGTCCCGCTCGCTGAAGTCCTTGGCTCTCGTTGAACAGAACATTCAATCCTTGCTTGTAATCTCAAAGATTTTAGCATCGCTTAGAAATCTAGAGCGTTTCAAGATCGTGCAGACGGACCATTGTCCGACGTTGAATGCCGATGGGCTTGTTTTTCAGCCGCTGTTCGCGTCGTCCAGTCTCAAGCATCTGCATTGGGATGTTGCTTGTCCCAATCCGAATACTGCCCTGACGAGACTTGACTGTGCCCCATTCGCCAAGCCACCCAAGCATATTGAGACACCGAACTCGCATCTGGCTCAAAGCATTCTTTGCTCGGGTTTCCCCCGTCTGGAGACCGTCCGAGCACCCTCAGATATAGAGCCTCCCGGAATTCTTCAGGCTGTCTGCCAGCCTATTCCTAGAGGGCAGGCCCTGATCAATTCTGACCGATATAGCCTGCCTCGGAGCTCTCATGGCTCTGTTAGTACCCGCCCATTGGCCCTCCCAGCGGGCAATAATCTAACGTCAGCACGAATACGGGCTCAGACCTTCATTGACATGGCTGCCAAGGATACGGAAACCGGAATGCAAGTTCTCATCACTGATCACTCAGATTCGTACGTACCCGACAATGCCTTGGAGGATGCTTCAGATGATGAGCCGGATCCAGACATGGACCAATACGGATCACCATCTTCTGGTGAGAGGGCAAAGGAAGAGCGCGATGGGCCTGTCACAGTATACAACTTTCGAATGCCAGCGTATATGGGCCGAGTGGGTAGTAGAACTACCGAGAAAGATGTCTCAATCCCGCGCTTCATACTCCGCCCCGACCTACCTGGTCAGGACGCAGATGGCGGCCTCGTTGGATGGAAACACGTCCTTGCCTCAAACCAATCGTTGACCTACGCTGCCGGAGTCGGGGTCAACTGTTTTGGCAGCAAAGGTAGCCTGATTCCCCCTCCCCCCTCCGAGGAATCGCCGCCATCCCCAGCTTCCACGACTGTCACGAGATTTGGATGGGGCAGCATTGGTAGTCGCTCAGCATTAGGAACCAGTCCTATCACACCGACGACCCCGTCTACTCCCATGAGCCTGGCGTCTCCGACCGGGCTTCCCTGGGACAAGGATACCTGTACTGGATCCTGGAATTACAGTCACAAGAAGGGCAGGGACTGGTGGTTTCATATGGAACGCGATCGTCCAGGAAGTGTCGAAATCATTGACGTCAAAGGTCTCTTCTGACCGAGCACTCTACGATTCATGCTTTACCTGATGCAGTATTATACCACGATGCACCACTTTCTTCGCATCTTCCTTTCTCTCTCTCTCTCTATTAGCATACAATGGGACGCAGTCCCATAGATTGATGTGCAAGAACGACGGCGTTCATCGGTTGACTCGTCGCAATTTTACCTCATATCGGTGGAAATCGACTCACCAACTATCGACCTACTTTCAGGGTGAGGTTATTTGCTTTTATCATGGACACACATATGCATATCTACTCTCATATTGGATGGAAAATCGAATTCATGTCTGGACATGTATTTTTTCTCCAATCTCCCTTCTTTTTCGTTTTCGTTTTCATGCATGAGTGAGGGCATTTTCTCTGAATTCTTAAGGCGCTGCTGGTGTCCACTTGGACTGGTTACATATATTCCCCTTCGGTTTAGTCGTTTAATGTTCCTCCTGCTTTCATTTATTCGGAGACTTTCCTCTGTCTTTCTCGTGATTGATGAGCACACTCTGTACAGGCTTTTCTGGCATGCCGGTACGCAGGAAGCGAACCTCACAGTTCCTAATCGACGGTTGCAATAACGTGGTATGGTTCAGAGCGTGTACGGTGTTACGAAGATGTTGCTGCGGTGGAGATTGTTTCGCAGCTCCTCGGGAGTCCACCATTCGGACAAGACACGATCGGATATACATAATGTGTATCGCACTTAATACAATCAGATCATAGAGAACCGAAAGACATAGACATCGGCGCTACAGGCTTTCAACACGTCTAGGTATCTTGGTAGATATTCGATCAGGCACCACGAGAGTTACTCATATCATTATGACTGTTTATCTATCTGCCAAACAGATCCGAAGACGGGTGTGGATAGGAGACATCGCAAGATAAGAAACGAGGTTGCTCGTATGCAAACCGAAGACAGCTCTGAGCGACTTGGGGACGTAGATACACGGCCATCAGAGAAGGACAAGAGGGATGTAGAACAATTCAGAGACTAGAGGAAATGCGTTGATTATGTAATATCTAGACATAGATACCCATGTTTGTGTCCTTCTTCTTGGCCTGGACCTCGGCGATAGCATCCACGTAGTTCTCATGTCCGACCTTGCTCATGCCTTTCCGGAGAGCAATCATACCGGCTTCGACACAGACGGCCTTCAGCTGCGCACCGCCGAATTCATCGGTACTTCGAGCCAATTCGGCCCAGTTGACGGTGTCATCCACGGTCATCTTGCGGGAGTGGATTCGCAGGATGTTTGCCCGCGCCTCCTCATTGGGTAGAGGGAATTCGATCTTGCGGTCCAGTCGACCGGAACGGAGCAGAGCGGGATCAAGGACATCGATACGATTTGTCGCGGCCAGGACCTTGATACGATCATCCGAAGCAAATCCATCAAGCTGGTTCAGAAGCTCCAACATGGTCCGTTGCACCTCGCGGTCACCGGACTTCTCGGAGTCGAAACGCTTGGTACCCACGGCATCGAGTTCGTCAATGAAAATGATCGAAGGAGCCTTCTCTTTGGCAAGAGCGAAGCAGTCCCGGACCAGCTTGGCTCCGTCACCGATGAACATCTGCACCAGCTGAGGTCCAGCAAGCTTGAGGAATGTAGCGTTTGTCTCGGCGGCGCAGGCTCGCGCAAGAAGGGTCTTACCGGTACCAGGAGGACCGTACATCAGAGCACCTGCAGAAAAGAAGATATGCGTTAGACGTGCTGCCAAATGACACCGGAGCAGGGCTCGAAAAAAAGGTTGACATACCCTTTGGCGCCTTGATACCGATCTTCTTGAATCGTTCCGCCTCCTTCATCGGCCATACAATGGCTTCAACGATCTCTTCAATCTGCTTGTCCAAACCACCGATGTCCGAGTACTTCTCTGTCGGCTTCTCGTCGACCTCCATGGCCTTCACCCGATTGTCATACTCGGCGGGTAGTGTATCCAAAATTAGATATGAATCCTTGTTGACACCGATCAAATCAGCGGGCTTGAGTTTCTCTTGATCTACCAGACCGATGAGAGGAAGGTAGATAGTCTGTCGAGTTGAAGTTTTAATGACAGCGGACTTGCCCACTCGGGTAGCGTCAAGATCGATGTTGGCTCCTTCTTCGGCGGCCTCTGCCTCAACATCCAGATCCAAAAGCTCGACGACGTTTCCGACGAGGTAAGGTAGTTGTCTGTAAATAAAAGGGTCAGAAGAGTAATTGAAGGTCTTCAGATACATCCAAGCGATAGAGCTCCAACATCGCCACCGCTCCGGCGCCCCGGAAAGTCAATGGCAGCATGGCAGAGCTGAAGTGAATAGGGTAACAAGCATGTCGTACCTGTTGTTCTCAATTTTCTCCTGGTTATCCTTCACTTTCTCCTGCATTGTATTCTGTTCGTGTGTCAATCGTTGGTACTCGCTCTTCATTATGCGGAGCTCATTCTCCAACATCCGTCGCCGCTTGACAATGTCTGCTGTGCTCGAGTTGAGAATCTCCTCATCCAATAAACCCTCCTCTTCATCCTTCTTCTTCGCATCAGCATCTTTCATTTCAGCATCTCCATCTCCTCCAGGCTGCTGGCCATCACCGTCGCCATCGCCCTGGTCCTTCTTCTTGTCTCTCTGCTCGCGTTCGAGATCTTCCAGATCTTCAAGGGTCGACATAGTAACAGACGAAAATGTGTAAGTATTAGAGCTGAGAGAACTTGCGGGATCAAAGAGTAAGAGGGTGTATTATCAGGAAAAGGAAGGGGGCGGGATTTCGAGATAAAAGGTTGGAGACGTGAAGCTGTCCTGGTGATGCTCTGAGCTCCGGCCAAACAACGTCAGCCGCTCTGCCTACATCACGTGATAGCGACTCTACCAGCGTCCGCAATCATCTCCGCTCTCGCCAGCTCGGTACTTCGGCCTGAATATCATTATGCTTTGCTTCTCAAAAAAATTTTTTTTTTTTGATATTTACGTTTGATTGTACCTATGTTACATTTCCGGCATCATAGCCTTCACTAGGGGCTTCCCAAACGTCCCGATGAGGGTTGACCTTTGGCGGCCGTCTTCTGTAGCAAGGATACTGTTGGGCTCTCCGCTTACAGAAGCATATTGGGATTATCCTTGAAGTAAGCAAGGTTACCCAGATTCTCGATAACCCTTTCTCTTCCATATTTCAGAAGTCGATAACGTGAGATGAAGTCGTCGTTGTTGACTAATGAAGTGTTAGTAAGAGAGATACTGACCGAAAGTCGGTAAAAAGAAAGGCAAGAGAATAACATACTATATCCACCGCACATCCGCCGCTTGCCAGTGAACTCGGAACGACCATGAAGCATTCTCCAGTTGTCGAAAACTAGAAGTATAATTAGCCGACTCCCGCGAAAGGGTGTTTAAGCACTTACTGAGCGCAGTTCCGGGCTGAAGCTGTGTCCATATTTCAACGCCCGGGCGCTGGATAATATTGTTGAAATGGCGTGCAGCGTTATACCATCGGTTCTGCTCCTTCAATCCCCAGTTTCGTTTCGCCGCTCGATCGTAGTTGTTCCATCGAACTTGATATAGTCGGCTCAGTTCAGGATGGATTTTGAAGACAGGGGCCTGCTCTGCCGGTTGTATGCATACGTCCTCATTTCCACTTGAGTGGTATGGCTGTTTGGTAGCGGCGAGGACTCCGCAGTGTTTTGGATTTTCCTGTCGCATGATGGAGGCGGCCTTGAAACCGTCCACAAGCAAGCTGGCTCCGCCATGGCCATCAGTGTGCGACAGAAGATGGAATAGTTGGAGTCTAGCCGGATCAGTAAAATAAGTGTTATCTGTATGCGCGCCCAGAAATTCCGTGGTGTAGGCAGTATCCTTGAAGGTCAAGTCCGATGTAAAGTCCCAGAAACCACCTTTGATGCATTAGTACGATATCCTTTAGTGTAGAGAAGTTGAAGGTGACAATAGCCTGCGGGGAGGATGTATTACCGTAATGAGTGTGTCTGATAAAAGCAATACGTTCGAGAAGTGCCTTAGTTGATTCGGGATTCACCGGGACTCCTTTCACGAAACAGAAACCCCATTTGTACTTGACTGGCGTGAGCTGCCGGGCATATCTTGAGTAAAGGAGGAACTCACAATCTCATCGAGCCATCCTAACAATGCGAGGTCGTCAGACATAACTTCGGAGTACTCGACTTCAGGGTAAGAGTCCTGATCAGGATTGTAGGATGAGAATTCTCTGGCGATGACGGATTAATTGAATGCGATAATGTACAGGAAGAAGATGATACGAACCTGAATTTGAATGGCGCGGAGAACGTTTTCTTCTCAATGGTGAGGTTGACGTGTCCATTTAACCATGAATATGGAAATGTTCCCCTATGTCCATCAGAAACTTAGACTAAGTTAGCCTCTTGTCCATTGGTCTAACGTTTGCAGAGACTATACAGAGTACTTCAACGATCTTAGGACCGTATATGATATCTTGAGCATAGACCCCGGGGTGTATCTAAGACGCAACCAAGCGAAAGACGATTAGCGACTGCATACGCGGCCAGAAGAAACGGCAAGTCATACCGAGAAAGTATCCACAGATCTTTGCTTCGTATCTGGATGGACGCAGGATGAGCACTGGCAATTTTCCCTGATGATGCACAAAAGCACTGTGTGAGCTTCGATAGCAAATGCTAGCAAATACCAGCGAGCTCACCTGAGGAAGAATGGTCCGCTATGATCAATTAGCAAGTGGTCCTCTCTTACACATAAAGGCTAAAAATTATGATGTAGGGATTTACTTACAACTCCCCATAGCGAGACACATTTGAACCAAGAGGACCTAAGCGCACTGAAACAAATCTCCTCGCAGCATTCTTCGGTATTGAATCGGATTCCACATTGGCCTTCCGGTCAACTGTCTCTGAATCGGTTGTGGAGGAAGTCTCGTTTGTGGTAGCCGATAAATTCTCCTTTCCAACAGTAAAGGCTGTATCATTTCCATCCGTCAATGTGTTTATGTTTTCCTCTGCCGAAGATGTCTCGTTTACAGGCGCTGCTGGTAGAGTTTCCTTTTCATCCGTCGATGAGGTCTCGGTTGAAGGCGGCGGTGAGGTCTTCTTTTCACTCTCGGAGAATGTGTCTCTCTCATCTACTGGAGGATTCTGCTTCTCCTGCGCTGACGTCGTCTCCTTTTCAGGTGAGATACTTGAGTAACGGCGGATGGACGCGGGCTGCCGATTCAGTGTCAAAGGACGGACTGCGTTTGGCAGGCCCCGGGAGCCAACAACCTGTATTGCCGAGTCAGTAAGGCAGAGACATAAGTGATTCGCGAATAGTGACTATTTCGAGGTTAAATGTTACGTCGATTGCATACCAAACGCGTGTACTTCGGAATAAGTTCTGTTCTAAACTGCCTTGCGCTAACTGTCGCGTTAGTCCAGGTTACGGAAAAGAACCGTCCAAGAGTCATTACCAGACATGTTTCAAGGCCCGGGGAGCCCTGAGCGAGGCATAAGGGTTCATCCTTGTGGATGCTTCCGCAATGGCGCTTACAGAGTGAGGTGTCAGTTGGGAGGAAAGATGTGCTTTCTCCGCATCTGGTGTCTATCGCGGCGCGAAGCCGCGGTGATATCACGTGCTTTATTTGTAGAGAACAGAGCTATCTTCAGATTTGATGACAATGCCAACAACTGTGATATGAATGACAGAAAAGACGAGTAGGAATTCTATATCCATTGAGGTACTAGTCTACGGTTCTTTAGATGATTGGGACTTGACCTGACCAGGTCACTACGACCCATATCTTATGAGCCTGTTGTTTAATCTACTTCGGCCGAGGAACTTGCGATACCAAAAGAGACTGCGCCTCTGGTAGCCAGTTGGATATAAGGTTCGTCCAGCAACATCTTCCTTATGCCGGGGCTCACTATCGGGTGCAGTGAGAAACCGAGGTCTGCTGATCTTCTTACCCCTGATCTTAGCAGCCGTTTGGTTTGAGAGCACATGAATGAGTCTATCATGCAAACTACTAATACAGGTTGGACTGCCGAAGGAGTGGAAAGTGTTTTTTCAATCACAGAGAAAATGATTAGCTCCGGTTCTCATAAACTCATGATCGTATCGCCCATAGAACAAGGCAAGAACACCACTGCTCAGATGCGTAGTCCTTCAGACTTTCCTCAATTCGAGTGGGCGAACGAAAAGATTATCCAAGCCAATGAAAGGAAAAGAAGAGTGGATGTGAAACGTAGATAATAGGCCAAGATAATCTAAGGAACACGTCGGAGGTGGCTGGACTGAGCGTCAACTCGGGGTATCTACTTGAAAAAATTCGAGGAGCTTCATAAAGTCTCATGCAAAATCAGTCTCTCCGTTCGCGCCAAATAATGTGCCGTTCCCCTGCCATCCAATACAACGCCGAAAAGGAAGAACGAAGGACGAAAGAGACCATTCAACGACCCAGAGTCCATACAAGCAACCCTTCAAATATGCAATAATGCTGCCTTACAACGCGAAGCTTTCGTGTCGTTTGACAGCATGCGATCTGTCCTCAAATAACACGGTAGAAGAAGGTTATCGAGCAAATATCATAAGAAAGTGATGGTTTAGCACCTGCGAAGAATTAGCGCTGGAATGCTGCAGTCACGGCTAGGAATAACCTACATCCTGTAAAAGCAGTTGCCCTCGGCATAGCGCAACTTGTCCGTGGTCTCCAGTTTGTAAGAAATCTGGATGTCTAGGTCACGAGGGTTCTTATCGTTTGGCCTGTTCTCCAAGATACCGGACACGGACTCTTCTTCTTCAACAGTGAGAACATCGCGAAGATAGAACACAGTTTGCTTCCAGTGTGTGTACTTGGCGTGAGGGCCAGTGGAGAAGCTGATGGGTTTGTGGCAAGCGGTGAAATCAATGTCGAACCACGCGATGATGGCGTGAATGAAATCGCTGCGCTTGACGGGAAGGGAGAAGGGAACCTTGAACGACAAGTCTGCCTTGGTGACCGTGTAAAGATCGAAAGTAATGATAGAACAAGGATCCGTAACAAGGGCCTTGAGCTCGACTGTATCGACAAGGGGCTCCGTAAGGGCAATCTCCTTCATGGGGCTGTAGTCGAACCCGTAAACATTATCCCAGACTATAGAGAATTAGCTACGCCTTGAAAACCCAACATGGGCGAGGGATTTCTCACATCCGATCTTGTCATCCTTGTACTCGCCATCCTCAATCGCAGCCAAGTACATGGTGGCCTTGTCAGGGAAGATCTTGCCGCCAGGAGCAAGGTAGCGGTCACGAGCGTACAGAACGGTATCCAGCATGCTTTCATAGAGGAGGAAGTATCCCATCCACTCGGAGATGATGATATCCACGTGAGGGAATGGGAGCTGAACCTCCTCCATCTTTCCCTGAAGAAGGGTAATCTTGTCTGAGAGGCCGTTGACCGCGACAATCTCGCGCGCCTTCTCGATGATCGAGGACATGTCCACGCCGATTACGTGCTTGGCGCCTGCCTTCGCGGCGAACCTTTTGGCCATAAAATCAGTATATGGAGTGTTGATTTGTTCGAAACATGTGAGACGTACATGCTGAGAATACCGGTACCACATCCGACATCGAGAACAACCTTGTCCTTGAAAATGTGGCGGTTCTGATAAATGGAATCGCGGTATGACCGAGTCCGGACGTCGTCTTTCTGTGAAGAGATACTATCAGCACTAAAATCAATTTAATTCCAGATGCATATAACTTACAAGCATCTCCTCATGAATGCCTTAGCACAGATTTGTGTCAGCTTCGCGTACCCTTCAATGTTTTATGGACAATAGGCAGGATTTACCATGGTGATCATAGCTGTGAATAAGGTCAGAGACATAAGATCATACAATTCATGGAAAAATAAACTCATACCTGGTGAAGTAACGCACTTCGGCGTGGTCCATGCCCACCATACGATCAGCACTGCTGGTGATCATGGCCGAAGGCTCTACAGATTGTTGTCTCTCAACACCCTCCATCCTTGAAAAGAGAAATGCCGTTCAGTTGATAGAAAAAAAAAATAAAATAAAATAAAGGAATGAAGAACGAAGTGACCAGAACAAAGAGGTAGAAGCCAAACAAGAAAGCAAGATCTGCTTTTGTGATGAGATGAGATGAGACAAATGAAGTAAATATTATCTCCAAAATGACCCCTCAACCTCGACTTTTTTTCCCTCTTACTTTTGCCATCAACAGAAATTCTCCTCCAGAACAAACGCTAAGTTCTGATTAAGGTTAGTCTGAACATGGTTGGCACTAGACTTTTTCTGGTAATCTCCATGTGATCCCTTGAGCCCTCAGAAATCATATCTGATTAGGGTTGATGTACGAAAGCTCGGTGTTTTGTCCGAATGTTGATATATTATTATTCAAGATCTCCTCCTTGTCTATGTTAATAAAAGAAGTGTATAACTCTGCCAGTCTACCTGCCTCTTGTTGTCTGTCCGAGTATGCAAGTATCAATTTGTGGTTGGTTGAGACTTCGAGCTGTATAGATAGTTGGGACCCTTGTACGGTTGTACAACGAGGAATTGGCAGAAGCATTGACTTCATCAGAGGTACTCAGAATGGTAAAAAGGAAGAGGAGGGATAGATTACTCTTGTCAAAATTGTTAAACAGAGCTGTTATAGAATTGTCGACAGGCAAGCGCGGACATCCTACCTATCTACTCCAGAATCCAGATTCTTGGACTCTGTAGATGAATTGCCAAGACTCATATCCGGTCCTCCGCCTTCCGCGTCACAGACTCACAGCTCTCCCCTTAAGCTTAGGCATTCCAGCTCTGCACTATACTCCATGCACACCTAGCACTATGGTTCGGGGCCCGGCCAAGAGGAAGCTTTGCTTGTACTTTCTCGCATTTCTCATCGCTTCTCTCATAGGGAGTTCGACAGCTTCCTTAGGTGATCACCTACCTGATTTCAAAGAATGTGTCAAGGTATCGTTTCCTCAATAATAACGTCTGGAGGACTCAAGGCAGCGAACTCATTGTCAAAAGATCTGTCAGTCTGAAAATTGTCAAGATGGCGATTCTGTCATTCGTATGTCTAGCCAGTCTTCATGTGCTTCTTTTATGCTCATTGATTCTCTTACAGCACTCCATCTGCGCCTACTCTTATGGACCTGCCCAGCAGAGTGCGATTACACCTGTCAACATGTAATAACGGACCGCCGAGTTGCCCGCGATCCTCCGATGTTGAATCCAGTGGTACAATTTCATGGAAAATGGCCTTTCCGCAGGATTCTCGGCATGCAGGAGCCCTTCTCTGTTCTTTTCTCCCTCCTCAATCTTCTCGCTCACTGGCATGGCATCGCTCGAATTAAAGAAACAATCCCGGCATGGCATTCCCTGCGGCCATACTACCTGACTTTCGGTTACTGCGGGCTGGCATGCTGGACATTCAGCATGTTATTCCATACAAGGGATTTCCCTCTTACAGAAAAATTAGACTATTTCGGAGCTGGTGCGAACGTGATGTACGGGCTATACCTTGCTATAATCAGGATACTGCGCCTTGACCAAGGGAAACCCCGGCACAAGCCGACTCTGCGCCGTCTAACGACCACCGTCTGCGTTCTTCTGTACACCATGCACGTGTGCTATCTGAGTTTTTGGTCATGGGATTACACTTACAACATGATTGCCAACGTTGTGGTCGGGGTCATTCAGAATGTACTCTGGACGGGGTTCAGCATCGTCCGGTATCAGAAGCAAGGCAAATCTTGGATGGCCTGGCCTGGAATGATTGTGGTGTGGATCATGTTGGCCATGAGTCTCGAGTTGCTGGACTTTCCCCCTTGGCACGGGCTTATCGATGCTCACAGCTTGTGGCATCTTGGAACAGTCATTCCAACCGCATGGTGGTATATGTAAGGGCCCAGAATATGACCGTCCGATCTTGAAGAGCGAGTTCGATTCTAATACATCGTTTCTAACAGGTATTTGATCAAAGACATGCAGAACGATGTCTCAAGCCGCAGACTGAAAGCATGATCCGGTGACGGGCTCCCCTGATCTCTGCAGTCTGCTGCTGTGGATCCCAGCACAGATGACATATTTGCAAGGAGTCCATCGTAAAATGCATCATATTTCATGTAGAGTTTTGCAATAATGAACAAAATTCGAAAACTTTTCTTTTTTTCCGGCCGGTTTTCTTTTGCTCCTTTGCTTCAGCTAAACTTTATTTTCGAGTTAGCAATAATAACCAGGCGTGAGTAGTGCCTGGTCGTATCATGTTGCTGTGAAACCGCGCCCACCACGCCATTTCTTTGGCTCACCGCTTGGGGGCTGTGGGCAGCAAGGAGGGGAGCTAAAGTGGCCTAAGGCTGTCAGGCCAGTCCGCTCCCCTCGTGCAGGTTGCGACTGACAACTTTTTAATAACCGGCTGGCCCTCTTCTTTTGTAATCCATCTTTCTTAAGTACGCTTATCCTACTTTATCCCAAAAACGATCAGCGATCCCTCATCAATCCCTTCACATCGAATCTAGGGCTTCCCCACACGTCTTTGGCCAGGTTCCGCGCCGCAAACAATGGCGTCTCAAGCCGTTCGCAAAGCTATCTCAGAGGCGGCCTTGCAGTATGCAAAGCCAGAGGGCAAGATCTTCCAATATGGCACCGCGGGCGTACGTCGGACCTTTCCCAGCTATCTTTACGCTTGTATAAGCTGACATAAAATCTATTGCTACAGTTCCGCATGAAAGCGTAAGTTTATTTTTGTTTTCTGAGGAACAGATCAACCCCGCCTCCACCATACCCCGCGATCGCCGTGTTGCAGCTCTAATTGACGATACATCGCAGTGACCTCCTCAACACGGTTGTTTATGCTGTAGGCTTGCTCGCAACACTTCGGTCTAAAAAGTTGAGCGGACAATGGATTGGCGTCATGGTCACTGCGAGCCACAATCCTGCGGAGGACAACGGTGTCAAATTGGTCGACCCGATGGTGAGCTCTAATGAAACTTTTGATGGGGGCTACGAAAGGTGAAATTGCTGACGTATTGATATAAAATAGGGTGAAATGTTGGAAGTAAGCCTCATCTTCGGGAAATAGATACTCCCCTGATGCTGACTCTTCGGTTCACTAGGCTGAATGGGAGGCATACGCCACAAAACTCGCGAATGCTCCGCTGGAAAACATTGGTGACGTTTACGACGAATTGATCAAGGAGATCGATGTCAGCATGGAGAACCCTGCTCGTGTTGTTTTCGCCCGGGATACTCGTGCATCCGGTTCGCGACTCGTCGGCGTCCTCAACGCTGCGCTCACTGCCACAGAGGCCGAGTTCATCGATATGAAGTATATGACCACTCCCCAACTGCATTACGTCGTCCGATGCAAGAACACTCTCGGAACGCAATACGAGTATGGAGAGCCTACTGAGCAAGGATATTACGACAAGCTTGCCAAAGCTTTCAAGAGGGTCATGAGAGGCGTCAAGGTCAAGGGCTCTCTGACTGTTGATTGTGCAAACGGTGTCGGTGGACCTAAATTGAGGGAACTCATCAAGTATCTGCCAGAGGACACTGGTCTCGACATCAAGATTGTGAATGACGATGTCATCAATCCTGACAGTCTCAACTTCGAAGTAAGAAACTTCCGTGACGCGGTTCAATTCTCGCCGTGCTAACCATTGTATCAGTGCGGCGCCGATTATGTCAAGACCAAGCAGCGTGCCCCGCCATCATCCAAGGCTTCTGTTCTCGATCGATGCGCGTCTCTGGATGGTGATGCCGATCGTATTGTTTACTATTTCCTTGATGAAGGCAACGTATTCAGACTGTTGGACGGCGACCGCATCGCCACTCTTGCCGCTTCCTTCATTGGTGACCTCGCTCGCAGCGCCGGAATTGCTCAGAAACTCAAGATCGGCGTCGTTCAGACTGCTTATGCCAACGGATCGAGCACCGACTACATAGAGAAAGTTCTCAAACTTCCATCTGTTTGCACGAATACTGGTGTGAAACATCTCCACCATGCTGCTCTCCGGTTCGATGTTGGCGTCTACTTCGAAGCTAATGGACACGGCACTATCACTTTCTCAGAGAATGCTTTGAAGACCATTAAGAATACAGAGCCGCAGTCTCCGGCGCAGCAGCGTTCGCTTGAGTGCCTGCAAGCTCTTACTGATTTGATTAACCAAGCGGTTGGCGACGCCATCTCTGACATGCTCCTCGTCGAAGCTATTCTTGCTCACAAAGGGTGGACCCCTAAGGAATGGCTTGCCACATATACCGATCTCCCTTCACGGCTTGTACGTGTGGAGGTTGCTGATCGGTCAATCTTCAAGGCCTACGACGCTGAGCGGAAGCTCGAATCGCCCCCCGGACTCCAGGCAAAGATTGATTCCCTGCAGTCCCGCTACAACAAGGGACGAAGCTTCGCCCGTGCAAGTGGCACGGAAGATGCGGTGCGTGTCTACGCTGAGGCTGCAAGCCGATCAGAAGCCGACGATCTCGCTACTCGCGTTGCCAATGCCGTTCGGGATGCCGGTAGCATCAAAGAGATCCTCCAGGCTTCTTAGATTGCCAATCCTTCATATTATATCCTAAAGCACCTTCCGAGCTTTGGTGCACTCAAAAGGCAGCCTGCCATGCAGGTCCATGATATCGACGGTAACGGGGACCTTTGAGAAGGAATTAAATGACGACAATGATGGTCTAGCTACTTCTGCGTCGAGGAAAAAAGTCGACCACTCGGTCTAAACTTATAGAGAATATCAGGGACTGTCCTGAATGATTTTATGACATGTTCTGAGTTATACCGGAAGCAGCATATACATCAGCTGCTGTGCTTTACTTTTTCATCTACTTATCTCCACTCGAGAATTCATTCGATAATGTAAGGAAATCATTGATAATTCTGGTCATCTCGTGTGGCTATTGGCATTATAATGAGTAATAAGGGACTTTTTTGAGTTCTATACTTCCACTTTAGCCTTCTTCTTGATCCATCTCATCTCGAGAGCGTTTTCCTTTGCCGAATTTCTTGGCCCTGGTGCCTCTCTTTTCATCAAAGTTCTTCATCTCCACAATAGCCTGCCGTTGAGCCTCCCCGACACGCTCAGCCAAGACCATTACTTCGTCCTTGTCTAAGTCGTACTCCTTGAGCTTCTTCCCGAGTGCTCCCTCTATACGTAGCCAGATTTCGACGTCGTACTGCGTCACAAAGCTAATAGCGACACCACTCTTTCCCGCACGGGCCGTACGGCCTACACGATGAACATATGTTTTCGAGTCCGTGGGCAGGTCAAAATTCAGCACGACATCGACGGAGGGAATATCAAGACCACGGGCTGCGACGTCCGTCGCGACAAGAATATTGCGGCTGCGGGAACGGAACTTCCCAAGAGCGCCCAATCGAGCAGACTGCGAGAGCTGACCATGTAGCGGGATGGCGCCGAAACCGAGTGACCGAAGGAGAAAGCTGATTCTCTGTGTCTCATGAACAGTGCGAGTGAAGATAATTGCGGACTGGCCGACGAATTCGTTGAGGAGGTATACGAGGTAGAGATCTTTGTGCTTGTGGGGGAGGAAGCAATATGACTGCAGCAGTGTCGAGACGGTCTGGTACTTGTTCGACGATACGGATACACGCAGCGGGTTCGAGAGCGACGCTCGTTGCAGCGACTCGACCTTGGAACTCATGGTTGCGGAGAAAAGGAATGTGCGCCGCTCTCTGGGGAGAACTTTGAGAATTTTGTCAAGAAGAGGGCCGAAGTCCATGTCAAGGAGTCGATCGGCCTCATCCATGACGAGGTACTTGAGAGTCCGTAGCGAGAAGCCCTTGGTGTTTTCCAGGTGGTCTAGCAACCGACCAGGCGTAGCGACGATTATATGAGGTTTCTTTCCAAGCGCGATCGACTGCGAGACCATGTCCATACCTCCGACGATCACAGCACATCGGACATTGATCGTAGAACCAAGAGCTTCAAAGGACTCTGAGATCTGATAAGCCAATTCTCGGGTAGGCGCGAGGATGAGGCCGAAGAACGATTGTGGTTTGTCCATCAGAGCTGCGGGTGGCATGTCAGATAACGGGACCGACCAGAAAATATGAGATCTGATGGCATATACCTTGCAATATAGGAAGAGCAAAAGCCGCTGTCTTTCCACTTCCGGTCTCTGCTAAGCCGATCAAGTCACGACCTTGGAGTGCTAGAGGGATAGATTCAGCTTGGATCGGCGTAGGAGCCTTGTAGCCAATTTTTTCACATGCTTCACATAGTTGATCGATGATGCCTAGATCTTTGAAACTCTTGGGGGCAGGCCTTGTCTCTGTGGACGCCGCTTCATCTTGCGTCTTAGTAGTAGTATGTTGTTGAGCACCGGACTCGTGAGAACTTGTTGATTCAGCGTCACTCTCATGCTCTGGGGCCTTATGGGCGATCTTGCACTTCTTGACGTCCGGCATTGTGATGAAATAATTTCTCAAAGCATTAATCGATGGGTTTCCTTGGATATTTGATCTGCTCTTCCATATCAGCAAAGAAAAATAATTTTTGGGCGCCGCAAAATTGTTGATCCGAGCTCCTCCGCGGCTTTGCTCCGACAAATCTACTTTTTTCTAGGCCTGAGAGAAAAGTCACGCTCTTGTCCAGACAGCAGAGAAAGTTATTGGACTCATTTTTATTCCCAATAATCTCATATCTGAACTTCTATTACAATGGCCAAGGCACGTACGAAGAAGCGCACACATGTGCGGGCTCAAAATGCGTCTGCCACCGCCAAAAGCAGCATGAGCAAAACTCCGAAGTCTATGGTTATCAGAGTCGGCGCTGCGCAGGTTGGTTCCAGTGTCAGTCAACTGGTCAAGGATGTCCGTTTGATGATGGAGCCAGATACAGCTGTACGATTGAAGGTAAGCATGTTCTCTAGCAGGCAAGCGGGTTTCTGGAGTCAGTAACTGATGATCGGCCACTTCAGGAACGGAAATCCAACCGACTCAGAGACTACACGGCAATGACGGGTCCTTTGGGTGTCACTCATCTTATGCTTTTCTCAAAATCAGCTACAGGAAATACTAATATGCGATTGGCGCTTACACCCCGCGGTCCGACCCTTCATTTCAAAGTCGAAAACTATTCTCTGTGCAGGGACGTTGAGAAGGCATTGAAGCGCCCAAGAGGTGGTGGCCAGGATCACAAAACACCCCCTCTGCTAGTGATGAACAATTTCAACTCGCCAAATGCTACTGAGGATTCGAAAGTACCGAAACGTCTAGAGAGCCTCACAACAACTATCTTTCAGTCACTTTTCCCACCCATCAATCCTCAAGCTACGCCCCTCTCCTCCATTCGCCGTGTAATGCTTCTGAATCGCGAACTTACCGCCGGATCTGATGAAGAGGAAGATTCCTATGTTTTGAATCTAAGACATTATGCCATCAGCACAAAAAAGACAGGAGTCTCGAAGCGTATCCGACGCCTGGACCCCAAGGAAATTCGCAGTCGGGAGAAGAGAAAGTCTGCCGTCCCAAACCTAGGGAAGCTGGAAGATGCCGCCGACTATCTGCTTGACCCATCAGCCGCCGGCTATACCTCGGCAAGCGAGACGGAACTGGACACCGATGCTGAGGTCGAGATTGCAGAGAGCACCACAAAAAAGGTCTTGACAAAAAGAGAATTGCAGCGCATGAAGTCTGGCGAGAAAGCGAAGGCCCAGAAAGCCAATGCCCCAGAGGTGGAGAAACGCGCGGTCAAGCTCGTCGAACTGGGTCCGCGCATGAAGCTTCGGCTAATCAAGGTCGAAGAAGGTCTTTGTGAGGGCAGGGTGATGTGGCACGACTACATCCAAAAATCGGAAGAAGAGGTCAAATCATTGGATAAGAATTGGGCCAAGAAGAAGAAGGAGAAGGAAGAGAGAAAGAAGCAGCAAAGAGAGAACATTGAGAAGAAGAAGCAGGAGAAGGCGAAAGCTCGAGCTGAAGGAAAGGGCGGTGAAGATGACGAGGACGAAGAAGACGTGGATATGGATGACGAAGATGAATGGCTCAGCGATGACCTGGAAGGCGATGAAGAGGGAATCCAAGCGCAGGATGACGACGATGATGATGAGTCCATGGAAGAATGAGGCGGAGAGGCTGATTTATGACCCTTCAACCTCCCTCTTCGACATGAGAACGAGAACGCTTGACTGGTCATGTGTTTCCTTGACATTCGTCCTGATTACACGCAGCAACATCCCAGTGATGGAGCATCGCTGGCCATTACTTTCACAAGTCTCTGCAACTCAATTTCATAGTCGAGGGATCGCCAGTTGCAGAGCAGCCTGATTCAATGATGTACCACAGCTAAAGTGGTAGCTACGGAAGAGGCGGTTTTTCGTCATAAAAGTCTGGAGTAAATGGTGTTTTATGAGGTTGATTATGAGTTGTGTTTTCGGTAGGACAAATTTATACCCTTTGTCGAGTGTCCTCAACAAGAATGTAGAAATTTAAATACAGTGATCACCCTCCTGCTGAAGTGGAATCCCATTGTTCAACTTGGACCGTATTGGTTTGTTACTCATCACCGCTTTAGCTTCTCGTCTACAATGCGAGACACCATCTTCTCCAAGATGCTCATGTCCCCTCCAGCGGTTCCAGCAAAGTAACCCTGGACACTCTTTTCGACGTATTTGCCCACAATGTCAATCTCTACGTTGACGTAATCCCCGGGCTTCTTAGCTGCTGTCACAATCTTCTCTTGTGTGTAGGCAATAAGCATGATTTCAAAGTACCCGTCTGGCCCATCCACAACCTTGGTCACCGTCAAGCTGGCTCCATCCAGGGTGACATAGCCCTTCTCCACGATATACCTCATTACACTCTGATCGCGAGGTTGCAGTCGGAATACCAAGGCGTTTTGGTCTGGAGTGACGGCGAGAATCTTTGCGATAGTGTCGACATGACCCTGTACGAAGTGACCGCCCATCCGAGTCTCTGCCAGAACGGCCCGCTCAAGATTTACCCGGGAGCCCTTTTCCAATGATCCCAGGTTTGTCCGGCGAAGCGTCTCGGGGGCGACGCCGACCTTGAACCAGGTTTTATCGAATGCGGTTACCGTGAGGCAGGTTCCTTTTAATACATTAGTTTATATAGGTCTCCAATGTCGAGGGCAGCTTAAGCTCTTTGATGAGCTTGCTTATGAGACGAATGACACAGAAAGACAACGAATATTTCAACAGTCCTGCTATTGCTCGCTGTCGTTGTGTATCAAGCGCAAGTGAAGTGCATACCATTTACACTAATACTGTCCCCAAGATGGGCATCTTTGAGGATCTCTTCGCAATCGGAAATGGTCAGCGATGTTCCCCCGCCCCCACTTGACGAGGTGTCGATGGGCTCCAGAGACGTAACCGCTAGAAGTTGCAACAGATCCAATTAGTCTCGGGTCTGATACTATATTTTCGTAGTTGAGAAGGACTCACTCCCAATGTACTCGACGAGGCCTGTGAACATATTTATAAGATATCCAACTATCGTGATAAGAGGGGTCTGGTAGGTGAAGGCAAGAGATGCGGAAACAGCCTAACTAGCTGACCTCGGCTTGGTCTGCCGTCGGCCATCGGTGAAATCCCCGAATCAACCATGAAGAGCGGCTTCGGCCTTCAAGTGATCAAGGTCACGTCTGCATCGCCTGCTTTACGGAGGGTTGCCATTGTGATATTTTCCAACTGATATGCCATTGAGTGCCATCATACATGCACAGTGGCTAAGCCTTGAAAGATGAATGCCTCGCAGATGTTACAACGGGCTATGGCTCGTCGGCCATCGCTTTACCCGTCGAGAACTATTCTCAAGTGCACGCCGCAAGGGCGACGCTTCTCAGCAATCCCTACAAGCGATGATACTCTTCCTCTCAAAGGCATCCGAGTGCTTGACATGACGAGAGTATTGGCTGGTGTGAGTTCCACGCATATTCTCTCTGTTCATACTGATTCTTACCGCGCGCTGTAGCCATACTGTACACAAATTCTGGGGGATCTGGGGTATGCCGAATACTCATTAATCAATGGTTATCTGCTAGCCAACTGCTAACGTTGGTACTATTTGAGCCAGAGCAGATATTATCAAAGTGGAACATCCCGTGCGCGGTGACGATACTCGTGCTTGGGGACCACCATACGCGAAGTATACCGACGGGTCGCATGAAGGCCCTGGGGAAAGCGCCTATTTTCTGGCTGTATGTGACATCCCGGAATAAAAAATGAGCGTCCAACTTACATATGCACCAGGTGAACCGCAATAAGAGATCCATCGGCCTTTCCTTTGCTCATAAGTCCGGAGTCGATATTTTACACAAGCTTGCCAAGGAGTGCGACGTCCTAGTCGAGAACTACCTTCCAGGCAGTCTGAAGAAATACAACCTCGATTACGAAACGCTGCGATCCATCAATCCCAAATTGATCTATGCAAGTATCACAGGGTACGGCCAAACAGGGCCATACAGTAACCGAGCTGGGTACGATGTCATGGTCGAAGCAGAGATGGGACTTATGCACATCACTGGAAGCAGAGATGGCGATCCAGTCAAGGTCGGTGTAGCTGTTACGGATCTGACAACGGGGTTGTATACATCGAACGCGATCATGGCTGCCTTGCTTGCCCGCATGAGGACCGGACAAGGACAACATATCGATGCTTGTTTGAGCGATTGTCAAGTTGCCACTTTGGCAAATATCGCGAGCTCGGCTCTGATCAGTGGTGAGAAGGACTCGGGTAGATGGGGAACTGCACACCGTAAGTTCATGGCAGGTTACCGGCAGTTGGTGAGCTCTCGATCGCTAACAGACAATATCAAGCATCCATTGTACCCTACCGAAGCTACCAGACCCTTGATGGAGATATCCTTTTCGGGGGCGGAAATGACAGACTGTTCGGCGTCTTATGCGATCGACTGGGATTCCCCGAATGGAAGACAGATCCTCGCTTTATCACCAACCGCGACCGAGTGAAGCATCGGGAAGAGCTTGATGGCCTGATTGAGGAGACAGTTAAGCAGAAAACCACGCAGGAATGGCTCGAGATCTTGGAAGGCAGCGGGATGCCATATGCCGCGATCAACGACATCCAAGGGACGCTCAATCATTCTCATGGTAAGTCATCCGATGATAACTAACGACCAGGTGAAGCCATTCACTGACATGGAATCGTCCGCGTAGTGCAAGCGCGAGGAATGGTTACAGAAGTTGATCATCCAGCTTGTGGTCCCATCAAATTAGTTAACACACCGATTAAGTATTCGCATGCAACCCCTGGAGTCCGAAGACCGCCTCCGACTCTTGGCCAACACACCGACGAAATCCTCGAAGACATCCTCAGTTATGATAAAGCCGAGATCAAGCTCCTCAAAAAAGAGGGTATTGTGTCGTAACACATGTCGAGTCATCTCAAACACAGATGAATCGGGAGATGAATGGGATCTGGCAGACTAGATATTGGTCCGATGTTGTCGGGATGGGAGATTGTATGTATCACGTCTCTGAGGGAGCGAATCCCTGAGAGACTGCGGATGAAGCACGACGGCGGCCGTAAAAATCCATGGCGTACATTGATAGGATGATGAAATGATTGTATAACACCAAGACTTCCAATAGATTATCGTCAAGATTGACTCGAGAACAAAGTTGCGTGTTTGGAATTCCTCCACTGCGCGGGGAGGAATCCATACAATCACGTGATAGTATATAAATTTCTGGATCCGTTCCTCATGCCATATCCTTTGCTACTCAGTGACAGCAATTAATCAAAGCTGAAGAGATTGACAAGCACATTTATACCCCGTGCAACATTGCTTATTCGGTCCAGTTCTGGGGAATGTCACGGCAAAATGGGGCTACTTCTTCCCTGGCATCTACTTTAGAGACAACCCACGGAACACCGAGCACCACCTCGAGCCCCCAACCATCGGTTTCGACAATTGAAGGAAACACAGCCAATAGTACTCCTCCTTCCTCGATCGATTTATCATCGAAGACGAGCTGCTCAATAGGTACGGTTCGGGGGAAAGTGCAAATACCCAAACTTTCGGCGGCCACTACAGAGCTCCTTGCACGGATCGCTGGTAACATAAGAGGAGACCAGCAGAACAATGATAGCTTCACTACCCGTTGGGGCACCTCAACCTTTGATCCAAGCTTGAACAGTTTGAATTTTCAAAGGTCCAACACGATGAAGGCCTCTTCCACTATCATAGAGCTGCCCACAGTGCCGTTCGTTTATACGAACAATACATTGGCACCTACAGCAGTTTCTAATCAAGCCCCTACAATGTCCGAGGACAGCTCCTCGAGGCCGAAGAAGCCCGTTGCTATTGCTCCCAAGCCAAGTGTAGCAGTATCAGCTGGCCCATCGGCGCCGTCTCAAATACAACCAACATTGCCATCGCAGCCTACGGCTCTTATCCCTAAGGCTCCTTTGGTCCCATTAGCCCCGAAGGCTGCAAAAGTCCCAGTCGGCAAACCACAAAAAGCAATTCCCGGACCACGCTCACGCAAAAATGCTATAAATGGGTCCAGAAAATCGAGAAAGCGAAGACGCGGTGGTGATAGTGACGGCGAAGACATCATAAGGGCTGGGGACTCCAGTTCGGATGAATCCGACATCACCCCTACTGCCACTCAAACAAAGTCCGGCCGACAAGTGAACCGACCGTCATTATATGTGCCTCCAGCTTCATCTCCAGTCGTTGCCAAGACGAACGGCACTTCCTCCCGTGGCTCGGAAACTACTGGTGCGCGAAAACGCAAGCGCGTTTTTCGCAAGACGAAGGAGGCATATGTCAACTGTATGCATTGTCAAAGAGGTCATAGCCCGCAGAGCAATGCTATTGTATTCTGCGACGGGTGTAATCGAGCATGGCATCAACTCTGTCATGACCCTCCGATCGACGCTGAGGTTGTGACGGTGATGGAGAAGGAATGGCACTGCCGGGAATGCAAGCCTGTGCCAATTTCCATTGTCCAGCCGACAGTTGTGAGAAGCAATCCTGAATTACAAGCTCAGACATTGGGTACTCCACTTCATCACCATGTGCCTTGTCCCAAGCTCGAAGTAGGAGGCGAGCTTTTTTCAGCGGAGGAGCGGCGGGGTTATCTGTCGAGTCTCTCCCACGCAAGTCTCGTCGAGCTTCTCGTGACTATATCAGACCGGAATCCCTCCTTGTTGATGTTTCCAAGCAATCTGAAGGAACTGCAGTCGTCGAAATTCGTATTCACCTCCAATATATCGGCTGGCCCAGTCTCAACAGCAACTTCCGACCAGACACTTACAACAACCGAAACACCAGTCTCTCACACGGAGAAAGACACTACTTCTGAGAAGCCGAGTACCGAGATTACTGAGGAGTCATTGCCATCCGCTTCTTCTTCACGAAAGAGACGCCGGTACGAGTCAGATGAAGAGTCAGAATACGAAGAGTTTCAAGAGCATCGACTGTATCCACGCGCTGGAAACGGGTTCCGTCTTTCGCTCAACGTCGACGATATTGACATCATGCGTGAAGACCCAGCGTGTCCCACATTCAGCTATGCATTGCATGGACCAGCCAAAGCTCGCGCCGAGGCCAATGAAATTGCACCTGTATGGGGGACTGCGTGAGGGTACTGACTCAATTCATCTTGATTCCTTGCTTTACTATATTACTTATTTTGATTCCAATATCTCATCAGGACGCTCTTCTTGCCGCATGATGTGAACTTTTGAAATGCTAGCGGACATGGAGTTGTGCAGGTTATCTTTAGGCATGATGTACTGGATTGGACACATTCATGAGGGGCGTTACTCATCCACAGTTCTATCTGTATTTACAGTCGTCAGGCAAACAATGGCTCGAGCGTCTTACTCTCTTTCAACACGTCAAGCATCGTTATCATTAAAAAAATAACATGCTGTCTCCGGAGACATAGAATTTGATGGCGGTTTCAGACGACCGTTTGAAATGATATGCCTGCTCACCCTCGCCGGCGGATCCCACACCACCTCTGCTACACTTTTTCTTGGCCTTGACACATTGCATCCTGTGTCATCCACATTTTGGAACAAGATGAGATCAGGTCGGTCTCCTTCCTTGAGCATCAAACCCGATCCGCCCCGGCTGCCCAGTAATCCGATTGCAGCACGGGCACGCGTGGATACACATTCGTACAACAATTCTGCATCTTTCTGCGTTCCGGCTTGGTAGATTCCCACGCCTAGACAAGCAAGGGAAAGGGGGTCTGCAGAGCCCCAGGGTGTGAACGCGTTTCCGACATTATTGACTCCAATAACGGCATCTAGACCATGCTTGCGTATCATCTCGAGGACATGCAGGGTGCCTCTTGGTCGATTGTGAGGAGCTTTGGCTGCGGGATACGGCGAGGCCATGTACATGTCGCTGGTTGGCAGACCGACGAAACTCACAGGCAGGTCATTATTACGAATCTCTTTGGCCAGATCCCACCATTCTTCATCAGTGAGGAGAGTCAGACGGGTGCAATGCCCCAACATGACCCGTCTGCTACTTGACCGGCTCGTCCAGTTGTTGCGCTGAAGTGCTTGCAGGACATACCACACTAGAGCGTCCTTGCTGCTGTCTAAGCTGTAGTCTAGATGGAAGTCAACATGCTTGTCCAGCTTGAGGGCGCTTTCGATCGCCCAGTCAATGTTTCTTCTCGCGGCGTCGATACTCGATTCAACGTAGGGGGTCGATCCGATGACATCTATCTGTGGATAGCGCTGGAGAGCCTCCTCGATCAAATCACGATTTTCATCGCCATGCTCGCTGGAAAAGATGGGATCCTGAGCGAAGCAGACGATCTGAACCTCGCAGCATTCTTTCCATTGGTCTTTGAGTTTGAGACCAGCTTCAAGACAAGTCAGTCTGACCGTGTGATCAACCTCCACGAACGCCCTCATTGCTGTAACGCCAGCAGACGTCGACTCCGCAAGAAGCCATTCGCCTCTTTTCACGAGATCGGCCTGGTTGAACTGTTTCTTGGCCTGGGTGGTGAAGGACAGCGCTTCTTGGAAAGAGCCTTTCGATGGAAGAAGATGCGCATATTCGCGAGCGCTGTGAATATAGGCCTTATCGAGGTGGATGTGAGGGTGGGTCAATGATGGAAGCGCCAGGGGAGATAAGTTATCGTCCGGTGATGAGTTGGAGCTGCGGTGGGGGGTGATCGCGGTGATTGTGCCTTTTGCTGATTTTTCGGGATATTTGATGGTGATATCCCAGGTTGTTTCTGTATCATTGGCACCTGCTAGTCTCACATCTTCGATCTTTTTGATTTGGGCTGTTAGTGAAGGAGACATACCGCCGGAACTTGATGGTAGTCGATTGGTAAGAGGAGATATATACAACAAGAAGACCGGCGAAGGTAGAGTAGAACATACAACGCTCAGGAGAATAATGATGAGGACTGACTCTTGAAGAAACCAATTCCAAACTGAATACCCTTCATATCAGTATGCTTGTGGCATCCTTGCGAAACAGGTCATAATCCTGTTTAATAGGAGGAAGGCGAGTGATAGCCTATCACCCCACATCTCCGTAAAGTCGCGAATCGCGAGGAGCTCAGCTCGCAACATCATATTCTCCCAATGCTCTGCCATTCATCCTGTACCTTGTTCCGTTGATTGATACAACAATGAATGCTATCTATGCATGACTGGTCCTGAGTCTTTGCATATAGTGGACCTAATCTGGGGTTGCATCTCGAACAATTCTGCCTTTTCGGGACGCGCGCCTACCTACTATGACGGAGTACGCCGATTAACAACAGACATCACATGTATTCGGAGTTCTACAGTTCGATATCAATCAATTCGGTCGTGCTATATTTCCCAAGACAAAATAATCCTTATGCCGAAGATATAATCAATGATAATGTCAAGAAAGGCAACCGACCCAGGTCCATCACGCATAATGTCCACCGCATCAGCCTCATCCATCTCCACGTCACCTGATAAAGGATGGCTTGAACACCTCACACTCGACCTTATTCTGACCGTCCTCAGTCGCACACTGTTCCACCCATTCGTCGCCTGGGTCGGAGTGCTCAGCCTCCGAGCCCAGGCTACGCCTTACACCCATATCTCGTTCACGATCGCGACGGGCTATGCGGTCTTCCTCACGATCTTGGCTCTTGCCCGTGCGATGAACCAGAGACTGGCGCATGGACTCCCTCGACTCGTTGACTTAAGCGAAGAGGTTGTTGTTGTGACTGGCGGTGCGAGTGGCCTTGGCTTGCTGATTGCCCGGATATATGGATTACGTGGAGTTAGTGTGGCCGTCTTGGACATCAAGGCTGAGAGCGATACCGAGGGCTGGGAAGAAGTGACGGGAGTGGACTACTATCAGTGCGATATCGCTAATCGAGAAGAGGTGGAGAAGACGGCAAGGAGGATTACGGAAGAGGTATGCAATTGCTACGCGAGAGCACAACCATGTAGAAGATATGATGGTATGATCATTTTAGAGATCGCTAATCTTCCTTAGCTGGGTACACCGACTGTGCTTATCAACTGCGCGGCGGCACGAATGAACGGTCAACCGCTCCTGTCTCTATCTGCAGAGGCATTCCAGAAAACAATCCGAACCAATTTACTCGCAGTCTTTCACACTTGCCAAGTATTTCTTCCCGGAATGTTATCCGCTCAGAATGGAGGTACCGTCGTCAATATCAGCTCCGTCCTGGGCTACCTGTCCGCAGCCGGCTTGTCAGACTACTCTGCGAGCAAGGCAGGTCTTAGCGCCCTTCATCGGACGTTGGAAGCTGAGCTTCGTGTGTCGAGAAATGACGAAATAGTGAAAATGCTGCTAGTGGAGACAGGGCAGATGTCAACGCCTCTGTTCAAATCGATTAAGACGCCAAACAAATTCATTGCGCCTGTTCTTGAACCAGTTCATGTCGCTCAGAAAATCATTACCGCAATAGATGAAGGAAGAGGTGGCGTAATCAGGTTGCCCGCGTTTGCTGCTTTCATCGACTGGTATGCCGTATTGCCTGCCAGCATACAGCGAATTGCCCGTTACCTGAGCGGTATCGACCATGCTGCTTTGCAAGGGTCACCTGAAGCAGGTCGGTCAGACCATGGTGCGTCGTCGAGTCAGATATCGCCAGACGAACTGAAAGTCAAGAAAGACGATTGATGATTCAATGCCATTAGCAAGACGCCGACCACAAGAAGGATGCATGGTATGCTGTGAAGATCGTATAGTCTCCTTAAGTTATCGTCGATTGTCATCGAACGAAATTGCTAGAAAGTCAAATGTTGGCAGGTTGACACTCCCAAGATTCGACAATCAAGAGTGGTCCTCAGACTTGCAGAACTTATTGCTCATGTGTCAGGATCATCTTCTCACGCTCGCTTCGTCTCGGTGGCAGAGCACCCTTCTTGCTATGCTTGCGAACGTTCTCCTCACGTCTCTTAATAGCAGCAAGTTCCTCTCTCTTGATCTCTCCGGCCTTCTTCACAGTTCTTGGCACATGCCGCTGGCGCTTGATCCTACGGATTTCAGGCATATGCGAGTACCTCGTAATTAAAGCCTGGTCATATTCTAACTTGGCTCTCTGGCGGGCACTCTTGATGCCGCTACGGTCGGAGGCATTGGCACGCCAGAGTCGAATGTTGCCGTCGTCTGACCCGGAAAGGATGTACTTGTTGTCGGGCGTAAATTTAGCGGAGAAGACACTGTACGAACAAATGAGCAATGGAAGTGAAATGAAACACATGCTGGCAAAATACATACCGTTGCATTCTCTTGGTATGATAAATGTCACGAGAATGCCCATGAGCTCGACTCCACAAGCGCACCGTTCGATCATAAGAAGCCGTCACGAGTTCCTCGCCAGTCGGGCTGAACTCGACATCCATGACCGCAGCGACGTGATCCTTGAGCACATTCAAGGCACGATCCATTTTTCTCATATCGAAAATGTAAGCATTATGATCTTCATTGGCCACCGCGAAGTTGAATGCCTCCATCGGGTTCCAGGAAATGGCGTTCGATGCCAAACGTAGGACAAGTTTGTGAACAGGCGATGAAGTTCGAAGATCATACATGATAATTGATCGATCAATAGCTGTTGACCCAATGATGGATGTTTCTGTCTGATTGAAGGCCAGTGAGGTGATAGTATCCACACTGGTGGGCCAGTGAAGGACCTGGGAAGGTGTCGAGGAGGGCCGAGACAAATCGTAGATAGAAATCTGAGAAGACGACGCAGCAAAGTACGGTAGGTTCCGGTGATGCGAGACCCCAGTAAAAGCGCTTTGGCCTAGATATGTTCCCAACGGTGGTGCTTCAGGTGAGGAGTTGTATGGATCCCAAAGTTTGATGGTCTTGTCGCTTGCGCATGAAAGCAATTTCCGTTCGGGAGTCCAACACAATCCCTTGACAATATTTTCATGTGCCTGAGTGTTCCAGACTTCACCTTGAGTTGTCAAATCCCAAACCTTGACGACACCGTCACCACTACCACTCGCAAACCGTTGTAGCGATCCCGGATCTTTGGCCATTGTATAAACACCATCCACATGACCGTCGCCCATCTGGCCCACAAATGGCGCGGCAAACAATCGCTCTAGCTTGACAGCATTCAATGCACGGGTATATTCACGAGCTCGTTCGAATGGATGCTGGCCTGGATCCAGATTTCGGGGCTGTCGAACGACAGCAGAGCCTGGCGCCTGCTGGGACGCCGTGGAGCGAGAAATTGCCTTGATTTTCTGTGCAAACATATTAGAGACACATAAAACCACATTATATTATGACCCTGGTGCTTACCATGATGCTCTCCAATCGTGGGCTATTAGAACATGAAAATGAAGAATGTGGTAGAGATGCTTTGGCGGGCGGCCATTGAAATTTCCAGATGCTTTTTTTTCTGCTGGTTGTTTTTCGGGTGATTCGTTAAGCCGCGGGCGGTGAGAGCCGCCTAAGCTGTTGGCCAGCTCCAAGTGTGACGATAGCGAGTGAACCACCCATCAATAACAGATACCAATACCTCCTCAATCACATCCAAATCCAGTTTCCATCGGTCTGCTTGCTATTCTCAGACCTTGAAGCTGACTTTATTGCCAAAATATCTTTTTTTGGCCGTTCACTACCTAGACTTACTCCACTACATCTCTCACCACCAGTTCGATCATGGCGCCTTCGTCGACAACAGCGGCGCGGATAGAGGAAGCTAGGGCTCTCGCGAAGAAAGACGCTTCCAAGGCTGAAAGTATTTACAAGGACGTCCTCTCGCAAGGTCCAGGATCGACTGAGACATCGTCGCGAGACTATGAAAATGCTCTGATTGGACTGGGGGAGTTGTATCGGGATGGGAAGAAGCCACAGGAAATTGCAGAGCTCATCAAAACCAGTCGAGATACCTTCTCATCATTCGCTAAAGCAAAGACTGCGAAGCTCGGTAAGTCGATGGCTACGGTGGAATTCGGGTGAATGCTTCTCAGAGTTGCTGACTGGTCATCCTAGTCCGCCAGCTGCTTGACCTGTTCAGTCAGATTCCGAATACCCTCGACATCCAAGTCGCCGTCATCAAATCCTGCATCGACTGGGCCGTCTCAGAGCGACGATCCTTCCTCCGACAGAACCTCGAAACCCGGCTGGTGGCTATATACATGCAGAAGCAATCCTATTATGATGCCCTTACTCTCATTAACTCTCTCCTGCGTGAGCTGAAGCGCATGGATGACAAACTCATGTTGGTTGAGGTGCAGCTGTTAGAGTCCAGGGTGTATCATGCGCTCGGTAACCAAGCCAAGGCACGCGCCGCCTTGACTGCTGCTCGTACATCGGCCGCGTCGGTTTACACACCTCCACATCTTCAGGCTGGGCTGGACATGCAAAGCGGTATGCTACATGCAGAGGACAAAGACTTCACTACAGCATTTTCCTACTTCATTGAGGCCCTCGAGGGATACAGCTCGCTTGATGAGAGTGATTTGGCAACGGCTGCTCTCCAGTACATGCTGTTGTGTAAAATCATGCTGAACCTGGTGGATGATGTCACCAATTTGCTGGGTTCTAAGCAAGCGCAAAAGTACGCTAGCCCGCGACTCGAAGCCATGAAGGCCGTGGCTCGTGCCCATGCCAATCGCTCTCTCGAAGAATACGAGAAGGCTCTTTCGGACTACAGATACGAACTTGGAAGCGATGTTTTCATCCGTAACCATCTCCGGAGATTGTACGACGCCATGCTGGAACAGAATCTCATCAAGGTCATTGAGCCCTTTAGCCGGGTTGAGCTAGACCACATCGCGAAGATGGTTGGTCTGGATACACAACAAGTGGAGAGGAAGCTTTCTCAGATGATCCTGGACAAGGTAATCATCGGGGTCTTGGATCAAGGTGCTGGCTGCCTGATTGTCTACGACGAGACAGAGCGTGACCAGGCGTACGATGCAGCTCTGGAAACAATTGAGAAGCTTAGCAATGTGGTGGAGGGACTGTACACTAACCAGGCATCACTGCTGGAGTGATTGTCCTGACCTTTTACCTCTTAATGTGATCTTTGGGAAATGATAGCATTGAAGCATCTATGTGGGATTAATGACTCCTCTTTGGAGGGAGTTTCCGTAATTGCCCTTGTAGAATTTAGACCTGATTGGATACGACTAATGGCCATTGTCATCGTCTTCTCCAATGATCGTAGCCGTACTCAGGTAAAAAGTACTGATATACCAGAGGTAACCTGCTGAGGTTACCCGACTTGAATCCGTCTCGGGCGGAGTTGACCAAAAAGGGTAAAGCGCGATCGCGGCAAAAGGATCGCGACTTTCGCATCGGAGACAGTACACCAGAGGCATCCATACCCATCCAAACATCCTTCCGTTCAATCCATAACAACTGCGTTCGAAGTGGGCTATCTACTTCTGGTATCTCCCTTTTGATATACCAATGAATATGCAGCCCAACTATGCCCGTGGCTTCCCGCAAGCCGCCCAACGGTCTCCTGCCACGCCTCGTCGCGGGCCCCCAGCACCAGGTAGGTTTGCCCCATCTCCCTTGATTCCGGCAAACCTTAAAATCAAAGCTGCCTCCTAACACCATTTGATTGAAGTAGGCCCTGCTTTGCCTGTACCGATGCCACAGCACGCAGTTCCACCTCAGTACATCCCTCCTCAGCGCAACATGCCGCATCCTAACGACGCCGCTCAGCGTCGCAGTCGTAAGCCCACCGACAGGAATATCCCAGATGGCATCGAGGACGTGATCATCGGGGAAGGAGTACAACAATACAAGAGTCTTCGTGACTTAGAGAAGCGATTGGACGCCTCCATTGTGCGTAAGAGGTTGGATATCCAGGATTCGATCAGCAAGACCGTTAAGAAATATCGGACAATGCGCATTTGGATTTCCAACACTGTGGAGAATCAGCCATGGCAGACCGGTGCAGGCCAGAACGGAGCAGCCCCGGGAAGCAATCCTGGCTCTGGACGCTATAAAGTGAAAATCGAGGGACGGCTTCTAGATGATGACACCGACCCTACAGCCCCCGATGACAGCGAAGACGAAGGCGAGAACGCTGAAGCGAACGGAGATGCTATGGAGCACGATGGACAAGATGCCGAGAAGCCCAAAAAATCTGCTGCCAAACGACCAAAGCAGCGGTTTTCGCAGTTCTTCAGGTCGATCACTATTGATTTTGACAAGTCTCCGTCTTCGAATCCGGAGGAGACCAAGACTATTAGCTGGATGAAGCCACAGCTACCGGCAAATGCTGTCACACTTCCTCCTACTGCGGATTTTGACTCCCTGCAGTTCTCTCGTGCGTCTCAGGAGAATTTAAACGTCACCATCAGTTTAGTCCGAGACGAGGCCCCTGAACGATACAAGTTAAGCAAGGAGCTGGCCGAGGTGCTTGATGTTGAAGAAGAGACTCGAAGTGGTATCGTCTTGGGTATTTGGGACTACATCCGAGCGATGGGACTGCAAGAGGATGAGGAGAAACGACTAGTACGATGTGATCATCGCTTACGAGCGGTATGTCCTATGCTTTGGCAACAAACCTGAAGAGAAAATATCCTAATTGACTCCATTAGATCTTCGGACGAGACCAGATGTTTTTCCCTCAGATCCCCGAGAGCATCGGGCCACACACCAGTCCACTGGATCCGATCAAGCTTCCTTACACGATTCGTGTCGACGAGGATTTCCACAAGGAGCCCACGCCAACAGTCTACGACATTCAGGTCGCAGTGGAGGACCCTCTACGCGCCAAAATGCTCGCCCTGACCCAGAACCCGCAATATACAGCGGGATTGCGCCAAATTGCTGCTCTAGATGATCAGGTGGCGCTTATTGTCCAGGCCCTGACGCATTCGAGAGCCAAGCACTCTTTCTACACCGCACTAAGTAAAGACCCTGCCACCTTCTTGCGGCGCTGGGTCAATTCTCAGCGCAGAGATTTGGAAACCATCCTTGGCGAGGCGACCCGCGGCGGCGGTGAGGATGGCAGTGGGCCGGAATTCAGGAGAGGGGGAGCTGAGAGCGTGTGGGATACCCAGGTGGCCAGGGAGGCTGTGCGATACATGCTTGCCAAACCGGAGGCAGCAGCAGCACGATAATTTAGGGGTTTATTCGTTCCTATTATCCCTTGACTCTCGAAGGAGGCGCTCTCTTGGCGTTTGGTGGGGATGGGTTCTTTTCTCGAGTTCTTTCAAATTTGTGATTTGCCCGATTCATAGAACTAATGGTTCAGACTGTCTTCAGATTGTGTAAGGTTCATGAAGGTGATCAAATTAAGCAAAGGGAGTATCTTGAGTAGACGACCAAGAGGACCCGAAAATGTTTGGGTCAATTCGACCAAAGTGCTTTGACTATGACAGTCTATTATTAATCTGATACCAAATCGAGATACCTCCTGCAGCGTTGAGCAATGCAAACTTTAGACAAGAAGAGCCAACAGACAGTAAAACAATCAAACCCATTAGCATTTTTCTGTCGATAATTAGCAATGACGTCTCACAGTCCTCAGCAGAAATGCTGCCCTCTAGACCGCCAGCAGGTCAGAAAGACTAAGAGCGGGCTGCGGTAGCCAGGTTAGCCTTCCTCTTCCGCAACTCTTCGCTCAACCCGACATCGACGGCGGAAGCAATCTTCTCGCTAGCCAGATCGCCAGTGGTGAAAGCTCCTTCCTCCTGTTCCAGCTTGGTAGCAGCCTCAATAACGACATTCTGCGCGAGCTCTTCGCGCAGCTTCTGCACTTCTTCCTTCGTCTTACCCTCCGGCGCAGGCGCACGGAAGCGTTTGACGACGGCATCAATCATCTTGGTAAACCAGTAGTAGTTGAGCCCATTGAGGACGAGATTCGAGACGACGTACGTCACAACCAGCCAGGTGGGCACGCCGCGGGCGGTGTATTTGGAGAATTTGGAGATCTCTGCCTGGGCCTTCGCACAGGCCTCATTGACGCACAGGGACCCGTCGCGAATTTGGAAAACGTCCGCGGTGATGTCGACGGGGTTTAGGGCGGCTGATTCTGATGCGGACCAGACCTGCTTGAGAGCATACCACATGTCCCTGTATACTAAGGCCGATTGCCACGTGCCCCATATGAGACGGCAGCAGAAGAACACCACGAGCAGTAAAATGCCGTTGTACAATTGCAGTTTGCTACCGGTCATATTGACTTTATCCAAGAACCAATGGATGTTGAGGAAAGGGCTAGAGAGCTCGTAAAGGATGAAGACCGGGGAGTAGAAGTGGAGAAAGGGCCTCTGCAGTGTATTAGCTTCCCATTACGGCTTTGAAACCAGCCCTCTAACGAAGCATTTAAC